GTTTATATACATATCATCCATTTGGATAACAATATTTCCATATCTAAATTAACAATATACAGAGAGTGATAGTCAAAGGCAATTATTCAAAAAAATAACTCCGAGACACGATAACAATTATTTAATATTTTGTGCATATATTTTATACCCCTGAAATTATGATACTTAGCTGTGCCATACTACTTGTATACTGACATAAGAATAATACTAAATGTTCTCTATGTCTGAATATGAAATCAAGAACAAGTAATTCTGTAGGAGGAATGAATAAAAAGGATTTGCTACTTGATTACTCATTTAGTTAAAATATAAAAGTTAACCTTTTCTAGTGTCATAGACATCATAAAGATGAACATTTTGGCAACCAATAGCGCACTTGTGATTTACTCAAACGCAACTCCCCCCCCCATGAAGTTTGAGATATCCAGATATCAATAACACTGATTTTTACTAATATCACTGATAGATTAGAAGAGCGATCAATAATTAACTTCCTACTGTTAAAAAAATCTATTTGTAAAATTTCGGTCTTAACATTAGTGGGTGAGTTCACTTGTTGCTTCTGACAAGTTTAAAGTTTTCAATTTGAAACCCTCAACTGTTTAAGCAGTTAGTCTGTTGGGGGCTAGAACTCACTTGGAAAAGATCCTAATTTTGGATTTTTCATGCTTTCGTGCATAAGTTGCTTAGTCGACCTTGAGATTGTATTTCCCACTCGGAAAATCCTTGACTGTTATTGGTTGATGTATTATTTTGGTACGCTATTTTTGCGGCTCTCCCAAGGACGTTTCTATCCTGTAAAAATAAACTACATTTGTGTGCTTGTTGACCTCGAATTTCTGGGTGCTTGTAGAATGCACGTTTTACGCCTTATCTAGTCTTCGTGACATAGTTAGCCAGGCCGGGGAAAACGGTTTAGAATAGCCTATCGTGTCACTACATCATTTCCCTTCGCTCACATTAATCGAGTAAGGTGAACTGGTAATAGTTTCAAGCATATCATGGTCAGTCAACCACAATGTAGACTTTCGTGCGTACGTATGTACACTAGTTCGAAATGCCATACTACATTAGCACAGAAATAAATTTCTCAGTTCAAATCTCATAGTATTAGAGGCTATAGTAGTATTAGCGGAAATGGTCATGATTGGGATTCGAAAATATTATTCGAGAAGTATAATAGAGTGAAACTAAAGAAAAAAAAACCATGAATTCAGATACTTAGAATTCAAGGAAGTACAAAGAATGGATACATCTGCGCCATCGCAAACGATTTTGAGGTATGTCATTCAAAGTCTAACAGCCGGTTACGATTGTCGCGCCGGCCCAATCAGGGTAGTCTATACATACTAACTTGGCTCAGTCCAACTGTCAATAACTTGATGGACTGATACTATGTTTTAGTTTAGCCGCACCTAGCTATCTTTCAGCCTATTCCTACACCAAATAGTATAACCCGTCGATTTGCAGTCTTCACCTAGTACCATTTTTCTAATCCCAGCAATGTTGATTCGGTCATCCCAGAATACGAGAGCAATGTTTTGAAGATACCTGTGATCGAATACTAGTAAAACACGAATATCCTCTACTCTTAGCGGTCATGTTTCACACCCTTAAAGTAGAATGAATTAAGTATGAGTACTACTTCAAGTATTTAAAGTGAGTAAACAAATTATACAATTCTGACCTGCAACTTTTTAATAAGATAATAATAGAGAATTTCACTTGAATGAATTCGAAAATTTAAAAATTTCTTCAAAACTCCTTCACTAGTAGAAATATAGAAACTTGTATTCGAATGATTTACTAAATTAACTCATAATTCAGAAAATGCCAAGTACAATAACCTGAAATTTCAGAATTCATCTAATGCATAAATGTTTAACACTAAAAAGAAAATGAATTTCACTAAAGATAACGAAAAAAAAATTATCAAGTCTTATATATCATGAATTGCACTTTTTTTTCCTAAAAAAGGCATACAGTGAATTAAAAAATTGAAAATATGTGAACAAATGAATTTCTTTTAGTACAACACAATTGAAGTTTTTATTAGTTTTTTTTCGGATATTTTATCGTTTTCTTCTTCAAATACTGTTAGAGGAAAAATATAAATTCCACAGTTATTTCATGAAATTTTATACTTGTTTTAATTAAATATAAAACGCACTTTGATGTGAATTGAAAAACAAAACTAAACAATCACGAATGTTTAGGACGAAGATGATTGAAAATGTTGTAGTTTACAAGATAATGCGTATAAAAATCAAAATAAAAGAACACGACTATTTTTTTATTTGATTGGATGAAGTACTATGAATAATACCGGAGAGTTAATTAAACTCTGATGAGTCACTTCCAATACCTGAATATATAGCTATCTAAACAAGAAAGAAGATAAATAATTTACAAGCGATGAAATGTCAACGATCAGCTTAGTTATGATAATATAAAATACGCCTGTCGATTTCGGGGAAGTAGTGAAATTTATCATTTTATATTAGGAAATGACTGTAGTTAACCAGTGGAAACCAGGAAGAACTAGAAAAGTGCATGGTCCTAGTATGCTCACAGTTGCATAGGGTTTGAACGCAGGACTTTCAAGTTTACTAACAACTGCTTAACGGTTAGATCACTGAGTGACCTGAGCATTGTCAACTTGATATATAAGTATATATGTACTAGAGAGCTTTAAGTAACAAGAAAATAACCATTTGCCAATAAAACTTCAGTCTGATGCAGATTTGGACGATACAATATGCAAGGTAAAAGATGGTGGAAAAGAAATTTTACCTTTCATAAATAAATATGCTACACTGTGAAGTGTGCTACACATAATTCATTTGTTATCGAATATTAAACTACATTACTTTTCCGAATCAGTCAACTTCAAGTAAGTTCACTTAAAGCCATCAGTTCATTTTATAAATTTTGATAGAACAATAAGATGGAGTTGATCTGAGAAATGTGATGTATTCACTTAGTGTGATTAAATGTGATTTAAGCTTCAATAAATTAACTCAAGATGCTATACAAATAGGTCGAGAAATAGCTTGAGGATATTGTAAATAAACTTAATGGATTTATTATAAAATAATTAACCTTTCATTTAAAGTAAGGTCACCATTTTGTCAAAAATATTCTTCTTAAAAACAGTATTAATTACAAAAGTTGAAAGTGTGAACTGTTGAGTGTCAACTCAATAGTTAAAATGGAATTTAGTTGATGAGAGCAATAGAAATAATGTGTGCATGGCTGAGGAGGAATACCATATAAAGGTGAAACAACTATCAGGAGCTCTTAGTTTCCGGTTGTCATCAAGCTAAAATCGTTTACTGAAGTAAACTACCTTGGAATTAGGGAAACTCGCAGACTTTTCATTCTATTACTAAAAGGTTACTTAATCGATATGTACATCTCCACAGCTATGAAGACATTAGCAGATAAAAGAAAGGATTGTCTACTTTTACTGACTAATATTTTCATTCTAAATGAGATCATTTAAATGTAATCCTTACAGTAGAATAAAAGTATTTTCCTTAGAAATTATGCCAAATGCAAGTGAAATGGATTTTTTAACCGTTCAGAGCATGTATTGAATTCATTGACAAAAAAGATAATACTTGATGAATACATGTAAAAATGTTATTTAAAAAATAAATCAATTGTAAATTGTTTTTATTTCCTGAGATATCATTATTTGTAGGAAATACTAGAATGACAACAAGTACCTGTGATATTTGAATGTATTTTAACACTATCATCGATTAAAAGATAATAGATTGGCAGTTTTTTCATTGATATTAAAAAGGATCTACGGATTCATTCATTTCTCTCTTGCAGACATATTAGAGTATGATCTCGCATAAAATTTGTTATATTTCATAACAAATTGGAAAGATATTAAAGTGAACAGAAATGACACATGTTGACAAGAGAAAACAATTGAAGAGTGGAAGTTCAAAATCTCGAGGATAACAATGCATGAGTTTACATCATTGCAACACATTCGAAAATATGTCATCAACAATTTCTATCACTTAAAGTATCTCATGTGAGAAATCGACATTTATGTGACTTAAAACTGGTCAGTAAATTCAGGGACTGGTATTATGTTTTGATGTATAAACTTTTTTTAAATTAATTCTATCTTACTCACCACCCCAATTCAAGGTAAGCGAGAACTTGGTAACTATGAAATACGACTAGGCTGTCTTCGCATTTATGTTTCTCAATGTTATCACGAGATTACTTATGTATATCAACAAGCTGTTTTAGCTTAATAGGTTCACTCATTTTAAAATAAACCGACTACAAAAGAATGAAAAACCAATCTCTCGATTCCATTTATAGTCTACGATTATTTTATTCTCTAAAATTGGCTACAATGTAAAAAGGAATTATCAGGAACTTATAGAAAATTTCAATTTATTATGACACAAATGCATACTTGAAATATATTTATTGAAAACTACTTATAGAGTGAATAATTACATTTAAAAGGACAGCAAACACTCTCACAAACTATTTATTGATCTCGATAAATAAAATAAAAAATATCAGTCGTCACTTAGCAAAATAAGTTTAAGTGATAAGCGAAAAATAGTAAAAACAATATTCGGCAACCTGTCAGACAAGAAATAAAATAAACATTTAAAACAAACGACAAGAGAGTTCGAATGTTTTTGTTATAAACAAGACAGTAATATCATATTTATTATAAAATAAAATATCAAATACATCAATGATTAAACTTCACAATAATTCAGTTGCAATGTAATAAGTTTTTTTTCATAAAATGATGGAATTTTGTTCAATTGATAACTGCAACTGTAAGTACAAACTATGCATAACAATACTACGAACAGTTATCACAAAGAGGACCTGAGTTAGACTACCTGAATAAACGATTCATATTGAATTCGAGATGGTGAATGAAACTGGTACAATAACATCATGTGATCACAGAATGTTTGCTAATATAAAAAGCTTAATAAGTGTTATTCACTATATTTAAATGAAATATATCGCATCCAGAAAGCATATACAATTCCAATAGCACGAAGTGGTGTTGCAGCTAAAATCTCCAAACAAGCACCAATAATACCCGGAAGAAAATCAGTAAGATAACGACATCGTACACTTACAGGAGGAAATATACCAGCAGATATCCAAGAAAGAAATGCTCCCTCTAGTCCATATGTACTAATCAATTTTCCATTTATTATATCCAGATAAACAGACTTGGCTACATCATCCGGTGATGCTAAACCAGCAGTAGACGAAATAGCTTTAGTTGCAACTGGTTTACCAACATTTTCACGCTAAAAAAAATGAAGGATTTCGTTTAAAAAAAATAAATTCTACACGGCAAAATGAACACCGTGAACATTTGAATTTCAAATAAAAAACAATGAAAAGGAAGCCAGCTCATGAATTCTTGTTATTTTTACCTGATTATTTGATTACCTTGTAAAACTTCATCATTTTATCTCAAGAAAATAATATTGATTTTACGAATAAGAATCATGTAAACTTACATCTTACAAGTATCATTGTAATAGTTAGATTATAATTGTGACAAGAACATGAATAGACAACAGCATAGAAATTTAATGACCTACCTAAATTTCCAAACAGTAATTATGAAGGATGAGTACAGTCAAAATAACACGCGGTTGATTTTTCGCAGTTATTCAAGACATTATGTGATTACTGATTCTTTCTGCACGAATTTCATTATACTTGTGTAACTTTCCAAATATATCTTGTGTTCAAATAGACAATAAAATTATGCGATTTATGCTTGGTTTCGCTAAACTACGTTCCAATCAACTTAACTCCAACTAGTATGGTTGGTCATATTTTCGAAGTTATTGTATAAATATTGAACATGTACAAAATGCAGTACGGAGTACACACAATCTATCTGACCCATACAAGTGAGAAAACTTTACATATAGTTTAAACTTATTAGCTTTACACTTAGCTAATAATAAAAAAATGGAACATTATCTGAAATCACTATACGGATGAGTCACTTTGTATTTTTAACGTTTATTTCAGTCCCTTAACAGCAACGTATAACCTGGCACATATTTTTGTTGGCTCAAATTGATATACCACATCAATATAGAGAGAGATTAGCAAAATTAAGGCTAAAGTAGTAAGGTTGGAAGTGTTGGTGGTAATAAATAGAACATGACTTCATGGATGCAACGTCTTGGTTTGGCTGCTCCTAGATTGTTTTAACCTATTTTTAAGTCAGCTAACATAGCGCATCAAGGGTAAATAGTGGTTGTGTAAATGTAATACAACCATCTCACTCGATGAAGAACCCCGATCTTACGTGTAAATCGTGTTGAATGGTAACTGGAAATCAGCCAGTTATGATACTCGCTCGTCTAAGGATATGAGAAATGCATACTAAGGATGAGTCAGTATTTTCCACTGCAAAGTGCCACAGTGGGTATATGCTCGTATTTTCTACATAACCAACTCTGAAGAAACAGGAGTGGGATAGGGTAAAATCCATTTTAACTTGCATTTTTAATGAACAGTCATATGATGATACTTCGAAATCACAGATGGCAGTTTGGAATTCTGAAAAATATGGTAACTGTCTTTATCTAACAGTCTTATACAACTTAATCTCGGATTTATTAAACTATGGGTAAGATTAAAATAATGCTTGCGCCGAGACAATGAATTAATTAAAAATTATTATGTTTTGAAACCAATAAATTGCAGACATAAGTAATAGCATAACAAAATTTTAAAAACGTTGATCTTTTGTCCGAAAATTTACTCACAGACACGAAAAGGCACTATTCACTTAAGATCACGAAAAAAATAAAACCCCCTGGATATCTCGACTTACAGCGAAATAATGCTCAGATTTATTCTATACCAACCCACAACGTAACCGCCCACTCGGGAATCAGTCAACATCGAAGAACACTTGAAAAATACCATTTGAAGCAGTTAAGCGCGTTGCTCACTTTATTCTCATTAAAGGTCTAACGATCCCTGATAAGCTTGGTGAGTAACAAAACCTCAGTACATTGATTGATGAATGGGAAGTATCCAATGTCATATTTGTCCAGTTCTTAGTGTTGATCGAATTCAAACCATCAGTAATCAACAAAGCAACTAGTCTAAAGTGACTGTCAACATTATGTCCACTATATCTTAGTATTGCTGTTGAAGGTTGTCCTGACATTGACAGTAGAATATTAATTACATTCAGTGTAATAGTTTCTTGATGATTGAGTGTCATAACACACATTTACATGAAGATGAATGTTAAACTTACAAGGTATCCTGGAGTGTCTGTATCTGGTGGAAAAGCAATTGTTATGAACGGGCCTTTATTTCCTAATTCAGTTTCCAAAGTCTCTGCGAAACCACGTAAAGCATATTTACTTCCTGTGTACGCTGCATAACCATAAACACCAACTTGACTAGCAAGACTACAAACAAAGGCTATGCGTCGCTCGTAAGTTTGGTGAACTTTCTGGTCTAACATGTAAGGTAATAAAATTCTTGTTACATGAACAGCAGATAAGTAATTGAGATGCAGCATTCCCTCAATATCATCAGTAGGAGTATCCAAGAACTTGCGCGCAACAGCGTAGCCTGCACAATTTACTAAAATATCGACAGATCCTGCAATATGTAGAAAGACGAAATTACTCCTGATGAGATTAGCATTATTATTAGAAAATTATTAACTAATACTAATGACATCAGTTGTCTAGCATTGAAAACATAACATCTAAAATTATGACTGGAATGCTAACGGTTACTCAGAAAAAGTCCTCATAGCTTGAGGTTGCAACTGAATATTTACGAAAGTATTAGCCCATGAACAAAAAGATTTAACTGACAGAAATAGGAACACAATCAAACGCTAAGCTAATAATTGGAAAGCATATGAGCTGAAACAATTTCATACAGGTGGTGATGAGAAACTAAGTAAAATCATGCTAATTTTACTAATAATCGCCATAATCTTATTCTGCAACTATGCTGTTAGACAGCTATGCTTGGAACCTTAGGTAACATATACAGAAGACGGAGAGACAGATAAAACACAGAACTTCATACGTACATACATCAGTTCAGGTTGCCATACCACATTAGCACAGATACACAACTGTCACTTCAAACCACATAGTGGTAGCGATAGTAGAAGCATTAGTAGTAATGGAGAAGATTAGGGTTCGAAGATATGATTCGAAAGGTATAATTCAGTGAGATAAAGTTACAAAGAGAAAAATAGAGATGATGAGGAATTCAGGTTATAATTGGAGAGGATGGCAATCATATTAAACAAATCTACATAAATAACCCTAAATAAACAGGGATCAACCTACGTAAGATTAGTTCTAAATGAAACATGAGGCGAAGCAAATAAAATATTACCAGGCAGTCAATTACTGTACTCAAGTGAGACGTAAAATGCAACTGACCATAGCTGCTGACCAAGGAGTAAAAGCAGCAACTTAAGTCGAAAGACAGACGGTAAAGAGGTGTGGCCGCAGTAAGGTGTTTCCCTCAGACAACCAGCATCTGCAGCAGTGTTACCTCACAAGGAAGAAAGGGGTTACGAAAAGGTCGACCATAAAAATACCACACCCCATATTACCTCATGGATTTCCGTCTTCCAAGGTAAGGCTATTTGAAGAGCGCAGCTAACACGTTAATATCCCAACCTGCCTCAAGCAGTTGCCCTTAAGCTCTACGGCCACACTTCAAAAGCACTATCACCAACACTAACCCAGATTTCCTTTATTATTTCCTAAGTAATACCCTTTCACGGTGCAAGCAACTGGGAAGCGACATCCACCCTCATACCTCTAGCTGCACACGATATCAACTTGGTAACCAACATATCCTTCCACACCTCTTAATACATCTCTTATCTTGGAGATTGAACCGATGAGTAGGACATTTTAGAGAACAGTTCAACTATCCTTCAACAACATCTCAACTACCCACTATGCACGAAAAACCTCAATGGCATATGGATGTAAGTACTCCAACTCTTAATGGGGTTGAAAACACTATAGACAACACAAAGTGAAGGAAGACAGAAGGTCTTATCAGATTTTCAAGGATCGTGGCCCAGTTTCAGCAGTTACACTAACTGAGATATTAGCTGCAATCTCAGAACTACACGGAGAACTACCCGTCTCACTGGTCTCAATCAGAGCAAACGTCTTCTTGTCACAATTACACAGGAATCAGTTTAACTAATATAATATCTAAAATCTTAGATTCAATAATACTTCAACACCTAATTAGAGCTCGTCAACAGTCAAATCGAGGAAACCAGGCTGCTCTCAGACATGAAGGTGGCCGTATGGACCAAATATTCACACTTCGTCAGGTTCTACAACATCAGCACACTTTCCAAAGTCCGACAATAGTTCCATTCCTAGACCTTAAAGTGGCGTCCGACTCTGTTGATAGTGACGTCCTGCGCCAGTCTCGGTTATGCAAAGGTGTACCAAACAAAAACAATTAACCTTGTACAGGCTCTCTATTCGAACATTACTGGTCGAGTCAGGGCTTATGGCGAAATGGCTTCGGGATTGACTACTTCTGTAGTGTTTCTTAGGGCTGTTCACTTTTTGGTCTTATTCAACTTTGTCATCAACATGCTTCTAGAGACGATACTTTCATCGTCTGACTTCTCATGAGTCGGCCTTCTACCAGGAAACTCACTTGTTGACACTGAATACGCACATGATATAGTTCCGTTTCGGTGAAGATGTCAAAATGCAGTCTTTTGGGAGAAACTAAGGGCGACCAAACCAAAATACGGCACTAGTCAATGAAGTCAGTGAAAACTGGACTGAGCCGTGTTACCAGATGTGGACTATCTGGTTGGGGTCCGCGAGACTGTCGTAACTGGTGGTTACAGACTTTGAATAACAGATAGAAATCATTCGTAAGAGCGCACATGCATCCATTATTAGTCTTCTTTCAAATGCTAGTCTTCTGAATTTATCATAATTTCTCGTTGCTTCCTAGTTTCACTGGATTATACTTTTCGAATCATATCTTTCATCCCCAATCTTTCGCATGACCAGTAATACTGCTACAACCTCTAATATTATGACATTTAAACTGAAAAATTCATCTGTGCAAAATAAGCATGGCAATATAAACCAGTGGACGTACTTGTGCACGAGATTCTACGTATTAGCTGACTGACTGGTTTTAGAAATGTTTTTGTAAATAATTACCTAGAAGAAAAAGTGATTTGAACATATCTCCCAACCCTAAACGTGTATAACAAGCTTAATCCCTATAATCAGTTTTAGGAAAAGAGCTGAATAATAAGTTAGTTTTAAAAGGAACTTTTTTAACTACAATAAAAAAGTTAATAAATAACGTCTAACTAGGAGTATTAAGTTGTCAATGGTATAAGTAAATACAGCTCAACAAAACGTAGCTTTCCTGCTCATTATTTGACACGATGCTCACTTACTGAACTTGATGCTAGTGTGAGGGTTACCTGGACGAAGACATTGCTGTTCGGTTACATTTAAATATAGATGTCTCTCGATAGCAGTTGGCAGTAAAACCCCGAGCGGTGTACAGAAACGGCACAAAACATTAGGAGTTATATTATAGGATAAAAAGCTAGGGAATTCGTAATTGTACAAGTTACAGAAATTAACACTAGAATTTCGCTAGGCAGAAGTGCCAGTTCCAAAATAAGCATTGCAATATCTTACCAAGAACAGCGACGTGATTACTCAGGATTTCATCCAAAACACCATACTTTGAAGTCAGATCAACAGACAGAATGAATACATCATTATTCCTATCTTTCCCACATTTTATGATTTCCCGTGCAGACTGCAGTTTTTTCAGGTCTCGAGCAAGGATAGTTACATTTGCGCCAGCTCCGTAAAACAGCTTAGCTAGAGATAAACCGATCCCGCTTGAGCCACCAGTGATCAGGACATTGAAGCCGCGGAAAGATTTTCTAATACCAGAATTATTGGTTCGCCAATAAAATAATAGGCAAACAGCAAATAAACAGACTGCAACAGATATGATAAGAACCTACAGGAGGAGATTCAAAGTCAGATATATTCAACAAGAGTTCAACAAGTCAGAATTAGGAAATACTTTATATTTGAATAAACCAGTTTTCTGAGTTTTAAACAGTAGAACTTTAAGAGTCATCATCTGAAAGATCATATTCAACAAGACTGCAATAATTTTCATTGTTTTTAATGGAACTGGAAGAATTATCTTTTTTCTCTAGTAAGGGTAAGTGTACAGAGATATTCGGATGTTCTAAAAGGCCAGGCAGATCGAAGAATGACTGTTGACCTTTCGGTACATACGGATGAATTCCGATATCTGGCATTTCACATGCTCCTTGTGGAGGACGTTCACTGCGCAAGTAACTGTTCTTGATTTTATCAACAGAACAAAGAATTGATTGTATCTTGTGATCTGGATATGAAGTACACGTTGCTTGTCCTAACAAACTTTCCAGCTTCTTCGCTAAATTTAAATCACTGATAGATTTGGATGTCACATTGGAAGCATGGTGTTTCTGTGCCGAATTTTTGTTTTTCAAAGTAACTAACCTATTTAACTGACTGAGTTTAGCTCTCTTGTAACCGGTCATTGTATATAGGAATAGAACTGCTTCTGTTGATGGAAGACATCAAGCATCAAATCTTCCTGAATTCTTAACGTCGAAATAGATTAAAATGAGGACCAATCTTTTTGACATCCAAAGGAATCCAGAAAATGATTGAGTTGCAAATTCTCTCAACCCCCCATAAAATCTGCACAAGGCCTCTTTCGACAGATCTGCACGTTGACACAGAGAAAGGTGGTGTGTGAAAAGTCAGGTTTAGCTTCAACTTTTGGTTAGTTTGCGTTTAGCCAGAAGGTAACTTGCGTACTGAGGGAGTGTGAGGAGTAAAGTGTGCGACTATCTGGAAGAGAAAAGAACACGCAAGGTGAGCAGACAGTTCGGTAGGCACATAGAATGCATTTACATTTAACAGATGAACCAATCGTTAACGATCAGAAACAACACAAGCATGAAACAAAGATAAACTGGTAATCAAAAACAGAAGTTTGTAGAGTTTTGTTTGCAATACATAAGTTCAGTTCAAATCAGACATGACCTTGATGGACTATATTAACAGGAGCATATCGTATTTAGAATGCTCTAAATATGTTGGTCGTGTGTTACCTTGCTTCAATTTGTATTTTTTGCATGTCACTGTAGACAGTTGACCTCTGAAAATTTTAAAAGTCTATTAAAATCATTTGAAGCATATTTTCTTTCTTTTTTAGTGTTGAGTCTGTACATTGGGAAGCTACCACTATACTTGCTTCATAAAAAGTCGTATTATATTTTACGAAATAACATAATATTGACAAAGAGATTTACATCTATTCCAAGGGACTTTCCTTATGTGCTGTTGGAGTCATGTAAGTCTGAAGATCGTATTTTGAATTCAAATGTTTCCCGGAATGTTAAGGCCGGAACAATTTGGAATTTGTAATTATAATGCTCCTCTTTCGTAGATCTGAACAAACTGAAGGGTCATAAACACGTCAGACAAATGTGTTAGCCAACACCTTCGTAGTTATCGGCTTTCTACAAAGACAGTATGGACCACTGCTCACGCTGGGCAACAATAATGGAGTCAAACCCCTAAATCAACAGCTCGAACGCTACTTCACATGTGGAGATCCGCCATGCAGATTCACTCAGAAAGTTGATAGTTGGGACGGCATGACAATATGTCATTTAGATCCATATAGATGGTGTTGCAACCAAGTACTTCAATCAGTGCAGTTTGCAAATCTTCAGCTATTTTACTGTCTTATGGAAAAATATAGCGATAAATGCATCCCCTAAATAAATAGTTCTTCATTGTCGATGCTGACTTCATTAGTTTTACTGGACACGTCCTAGCTGAAGGTGCCTTGTCACATATCCTCACTAAATTACCGTGAAGTAAACCGTGCAAAGCATCTCCTTGTATCAGCTAGCGAGCTTAGTTTACCCACTCCTCCACGCTCCAACCATCATTCAAATATACCTTGTGGCTTCGGATATCTTCAATCCGATACGGACAAAAGTACCCAGCTCTTTGATATCCTCACAGAGCATTTTTTATAGCAACAACTCATCGCGGCGTTATAGTACAGTACGCGCTCTTGCGGGAAATCCACCGGTTGGATCAGGACGATCAAGCCTTGAAGACAAATAATTACTCGACTAGTAGCCAATTATTACGGTGATGTAGGGTTTTGATTGACGTGGCGTTAGAATGTTTTAAAATATAACGTAAGGTAACTTTGGTACCTTGGCGACCAAAATGCACTGCGATGCACTTGGAGATACCCACCGGCATCTGCCGGATTCCAGACCATCCGGATAATTTCTGCAAATCATTTTGCAGAACAAAACTATCACCCTATTTCTTATCGTCTTCTATATACTGATATTGTCAACATTAAACAAAACTTATGATTACAGGAAACATATGTGGGTAACATTCTTGAGTAGCTATCCTAAAAGGCAATCAGAACGAAATAAAATAGTGTACGACAATATTTTATCTGAAAGATATGTTATTTGGCGCTAAATAGACAACCACTACGCGTGGGTATTCATTCCTAGGACTACTAATATTTAGTTATTATTTAATTTCCAGGCTTAATTACCTAGCCCCGAGTCAAACAATACTCTCGATTGGGCTTGGTAAACAGTGTCTTCTTACTGCCCCGATGTTTCGTGAACCTGAAAAACGCAACAAAGACAGCTTTCAAGGCATCGGTGGATTAGTGAAAGAAACCACTGAATATCAAAATCATATAAATAGAAATGTGAATCTCTAACATAAAACGGGTGTGACATTACGACAAACCATCGGATTAGCTCCACATGGCCATATAAGGCTTTGAAAACGTTGGCATGAAGACCCCGTGCACGGCTGGTCATCTGCTCTAATTGAAAAGTAAACCACTGTTGCCCTCCATCTCACTCCCATTTTTAAGGCCTTGGAGGGCTTGGTTACCGCCCAACGTTTTGTATCCGAAGTGCTTGATTTTGGTTGCATGCATGTAGGCTAGGATTGTTTTCAGATGTCAGGATATTTGCCCTAATTTTGTATCTGAAAACCATCAAAGTTAATGTTAATATCATAAACTATGTTTTCTCTGTCTGTTTCAGTGTAAATCTCAGCTTCGCTGATGCTGTGTGACACTTCTTGAAAAAAATCGTCCTCTAGTTCTCTTGAAGAGTATATTATTGACGGAAAGGAAAGCGATATCAATTAAAACAACCATACCATTTTAGATATTGATAATCTATATAACTCACCGTTCTGTTCGAGGTTATAGGAGAAATCTCTGACAATCACAGCGTTTTGAACCTGAGTTACTGAAGTTGTTTCTTAGCTGTTGACATTTTGGTATGTTTTGTACTAACCTAGTACCATTTATGAAGCTTCTTATTCGAGGAATACACTGGTTGTCCTACCTGATGCTTTATGGCATTTCGTGCTCATTAGGCGGCTCATAATTAGGGGTAAATTCGAAACGTTGAAATGATTTCAGTTCGTAGGAAAATCATAGCCTTATGTCTTTTCGACGCCTTTGTATTTCAACATGATTAGCTGCTATATTAGGCATTAACCAGAAAAATCTAAGATATTTGGCAGCAATCACGTGTAAGAGTGCGGTGGTTTTCAAGTCTTAGTTATCAATGACCCGATAGTCACAATGTATCCCGACAATAAATTTTATTGAAATACACAATGCATGCCTTAGTAAATACAGCGTAGTTGACTTACCAAGTGAATTATCTTTTTTACAGCGGATCTCATTGATAATAATAATATTTATTCTCAAAAAACAATGTGTTACATGAAGTAAGACAGTTTTGGTTTAAATCAAACTTTTACAAATGCTTCCACACTTACTGTGAAAGGTTTCACTGTTAGAATAATAATGAGAGTCTGTTCCTGACAGCAAATTTACACCGTGTCACCAGCAGCAACAGTTTGTTGCAGCTAATTTTTCAACAAGTGATCACAAATAGGGTAAGTACACTACATAGTTATTGGGGGTGGTTTACATAATTCAGTAGTGAAGTGGTTTGAAATTATCAACTAGAAGGCGCTCGGTATAAGCTGAAACCTTAACGAGCACATACATAAGGCACATTTTGCTTAGTAGCACCATGGCTGTTTCAATGCTGGTAGAGTTCTGAGAAAAAAGAGCAACGACGCCGTCAGATATAAATAGCTGGAACATTGCTCGACTGTTCTCGACAGTACCTAAAAATGTCCCGTTCTAACCACTACACTCAAATCTAATTGGTAAGTAACATGAACCATAAGTAGAACCACATAGAACCTTTTTTAGATCTGCAGTGATGGATAAATGTCAGTATCGATTAGGAGTGTCTGTCACTATTAACTAAATAGTACAGACAGGTTATGCTCATCAGACCATAACCTTAAAGTCTTTAAGGTGGATGAGGAATTCATGCATACTCAGAGAACGACAACGCTTTTGGACGTAACATCTATCTAAGCGAGAATTCCAAAACCTATTCAAACCAGGAGTCGCAAATTAGGGAGACCGAACTCATACAGAATTACTTATTTCGACAAATTATTCATGGTTGCAGTCTGAATGTGAAGGTTCATACTGCTTGATGGTGTCACAAACACGGAACAGAAAAGACATCCAGCCAAGACTATAATGGCAGGTGGTAAGAATACATCTCAGAGGGTCTCAACCTGACCAATGTATGCCTAAACCCTGCCAAATGACTCCACATATTAACACATCTTACCTTATCCTCTCCAGAAAACACTGGACCCTCCAAATATAAGAATGGTTTTACATAAGTACTGGTACAATATATGTCGAAAGTCCTCGAATCTGACAGAGACGGGTTGGAACTGTTGGGGACATTAGATCCTCAGAACTCACTTGAAAAAGGTCCTAATTTTGGATTTTTTCGTTTTCGCGCACGGGCTGCTCAGTTGAACTTCAGACTAAATTTCCCACTCGAAAAATCCTTGACTGTCATTGATAGATATGTTATTTTAGCCTGCTATTTTTGCGGCTCACCCAAGGACGTTTCTATCCTGTGTAAATAAACTACATTTGTGTGCTTGTTGACCTCGAATTTCTGGGTGCTTGTAGAATACACTTTCTATGCCTTATCTAGTCTTCTTGACATAGTTAGCCAGGCCGAGGAAAACGGTTTAGAATAGCCTTTCGTGTCACTACATCATTTCCCTTCGCTCCCATTTACCGTGTAAGGTGAACTCGCAACAGTTCCAAGCATTTCAGTTGACTAGCATACCAGGAACACAGTAACAGCAGGTGGGGTTCGATGGTTAGCTTCTAGCCAAAATTTCTTACGACTAACTAGATAACGGTCCTGCAATGAAATCGGACCCAAATACTTCAAAATATCACAGAGACAAGCCTTTTAAAAATGATCTGTTACTAAGTTTTACATCCTCAAAATGACTCATTCAGAGCTCAGAGCAGACCATAGTGACCAATCTCCCATATTCTGTCTTTGCGAAGTAGGAGGGTTACGTATGAAGTCCTCGGTTTTAGAGGATGATCCTATGAGAAACGTCCTAACTCAATGGTTATTTGCATTAAGTATTCCATCAACCACGTAACCAGACTGAATGATTTTCAGCTGATCCACAATAACAAATACATAATCCTATGTCGGATGGTCTTGTTGAATCCTACGCTGATAACTGAGATAAGAATACTAATCTATAGTGCTGCTGAGCAAATCCAGAAAATAGGACTTGGAAGCGACTGTTCTTTGGAAATCTCGCGGAAAATTAGTGATTATCAAGCTCTTTCGACAAAACCCATAGAAAGTGACCGTACACTTTTGTGCAATTTCATGAATAAAAATGCAAATCTCACTGATTCAGGATTCACTTCCACTTAACGACGAAGTGAAAAACCTCCAGAGTAGTAACGGTAGTTCGATTACTTCTTAAAAACGCATCACTGTTCTTTGGCAGATTCCTTGGTATGTTATTTGACAATTTGTAGTATCCAAGCTGCCGTATCTTGAATTTCTTTATAATTCGGTGTGAGTGAGCAATCGCTAACCATCACAAGAGAATTCAGGACAACTGATGATTGAAGCACAGCGTAATTTTATATCATCATAAATTATACAAATCAATTAATCCGTTAGCGTCTTTAGAGCCACTGAGTTACTCAACCGAGTTTGCACAAGGGGCCACTCCTCATATTTTGGTGCAACTTCTATCCAAAATCTTTTTATGATGGCGCTGGAAACATGCTCTCAACAGAAGTAAGTGCAAAACATAAGTGATAGAAGCAGTTGCATATTAAATGGGCCATGTTCTTTAATGAGAAGCAAAACGTTCGTACTAACTTTCTCCTGTTACCGCTGAGGGTGCACAAGCCTCCGATAGGCATTCTCCTGGCTACCCAGCCCTCGGCCTATCTTTAGAGTTGTACCCGATCGCTATTCATTCTTTTCTCCAGCTGACTTCAGTTCTCGGCGCAATGTTTTCTCTGGTTTTCCCTTCTTCTTTTGGAATTCAGGATCCCAAGTTACGGCTTGCCATATGATTCATTTGGCTGCTTTTCGAAATGCATGTCCAATCCACCTGCAGTGCTCTCGCCTAATTTCATCCTCAGCTGGAATGTAATTAGTTCTCTCCCGTAATAGACTGTTACTAATAGTTTGGGGCCGACGTATGTGGGGTATCTTGAGTAGCAAACTGCCACTAAACGATCGCACCTTTTGAATGGTGGCTTTCGAGGTTCTGCAAGTTTTCGCCTCGTATGGTGAAACTGTCTTGACATTTGTATCAAAAATTGTGACACTGGTGTTAGCTGACAGGTATTTATAGTTCCAGATATTCTTCAATTTTAGAAATGTTGCACTCACTTTGTCAGTCTGCAACTACACATCTGCACTGGATCCACCGTGGTCATTATTATGCTGGCCAGATATGTAAAGGTTCCCAAGTCTTCCTGAGCATTTATGTCAAGAGTGATTTTGTTGGCGCATGTTGCGTTGAGTCAGAGGATTTTCCTTTGTATATGTTGAGACCTGCTGCGGTAAAAGCTGCTGATACACTGGAAATTTTCTTCAGCATTTGTTGGTGTGAATGTAACCTGTCCTCCATGCACAATAATGCAGTTTAATCTATTGTAAGAATTCCATATGATCGTGACTATATTCTGCGGTACGCTGCAGTGTCAAAGGAGTCTCCATAATGTTGTTCCGTCCACTCTGTCGAATGTTAAGCAAGCCCAATCGTCCCAACGTGAACATCTGGGAAATGCATCACCATCTAGCCTATCGAGGTAATCCTCGAAAAATTGTGCATCAAAGAACAAACCCACTTTCTCATGACCAGTTGTTGCACCTTGGAATGCTTTCCCAGCCGATGTGACCACAGACCCCTCAGTCGATGGCTTTAAGAAGAGATTTGATAATTACATACCCACATAAGGATTATCATCTCCCTCGTGGATGAGCTGTGCCTGATGCACTTCTTGAGAACTGCTAGTTGTTATTATTGCCATCTCCTCAGATCACTAACTTAATCGATGTTCCTTAATATCTCTGTTTCTTCTCCCTTGCTTACACTACAGTTCTCGCTCACAATCTTAACTGCAAATTAACAAAATAAATTATCCATTTATTTTCTTAGTTCTGAAACCTTATTGGCATCATAATTTTCTCCTTATTATTCTCCACAATGCAACTATCTGATCACCAGCCTGATGACATGATAGTTGCTGGTATCCAGAAATCCTACTCTCTGGAACAAATGTATTCATTCAAATAACGGGACATACAAACTAACAAACCATTGCCAACTGACTAGAATTAGACAGTCGAGGCAGATTACCCCCTCTAACATTACAGCCATTATTGAGTGTTATTTTTGTTCATCAGATTTTGAAGGACTAAATTAAGCAGTCTCTTCTGACATTCTAAGATTCAATCCCCGAAAAATGGACGATTCTGGGTTTCTTCTCATCAAAGTTTGGAGCGCTTTTATCACATTAAATACAGTTTAAGTTAGCTTGCGTTGACTTTTTAAACTTGTTGAAATGTGTGATACCTTTGATGTAACTGGTTTGGTGGAACTCGCTGTGCACAAAGACGTATTGTTTTCTCATTTATCTTATTATGACATATTTACAGTTAGCGTCCTGCAATGTTGGGTTTATTGAGCGAAATGACAAGAAAGTTGTGGTCATAGGCAAAACGTTCTTCATTTTTGACTGTGATTTCAAAGTGACTGACTCTTACGAACATGGTACCAAAGAATTACCATAGATTACCCTTTAGATTGTAATATTGTAAAGGTCTGTTTACCGGCCAGTGCTTTGTTCCTTTTATTTATTGATGTGAAAGGAATATTAAACATATATCTTCCTGAAAGACATGAATTGGCATTCTCTTTGGTAAATTTCGAAAAAAGGATGTTTAATTTTAGGCTCATTTGGGAAATATTTGTGACTTACAACTGGTGACAACAGGAGCAGGTAGTGATTGACTAATATTGACGTTTTCCAGTTAGTTTTGATCTTTTTCTCAGGATCGAGAATTCGCTATTGTTATGGAGAGATATAGACTCTTTGCATCTGCATTCAGGTAAAATGCACTCACAAAAGTAACTTATATGCTAACTTTCCTTCTCTTCTCTTCAGAACTTGTTGAGCGAAACTTTGAAGAACTCAAGGCTCGTTTCAAAAGCACTGAAAGTGTGGTTGTAACAGGAAAAATGTTCTTTTGTTGCCATCTAAATCCTGCAGTGGTTTGGAATCTTCAACTGGTAGGTTTTTCTCATCTCTTCCTACTTTAAGAGCGCTCCGGGCTTTGTTACAACATGCATAAAGAATTCTGGTCAGTTCATCGTTCAAAGCCTCTTCGATCCATTCTTAGTCTTTGAAGAAGGCATATCTTTTCGAAAAGTTTCATTAATTTGTGACACGGTATATTGTTTGGCACTTTCCTACTCGGTATGTCTTTTTTGATATTAAAGTCAGTCCAAGTATATACATTATATCTAATTAATTGGAAGCGATTTTGTTTAGTACCTCATTAATTCCTAAGTTTTGATGTAGTGCACATCTGTGCTTGTGTAGCTGATTTCTTTGCTGGTGACGTCTAAACTGGGTAGCTTAGAGTATTTGCTATTAACTTGTTCGCGTTAGATAAGTTTTACATACCCTTGCGATCGAAACCAGAACACAACTTTTTCGAGAAAATGTGTTATTACAAGATATTTGGTATACCACGTTGTCATGTATGTTGTATTTTTGTATGCATCAAGGAATGTTTTAGTCCCGCTTGTTAAACTAGCACACTAGTCTGAATGATTTCAGTGAATACAGTAGCTCTATATAGTAGTAAACCAGTTATATTTCTTCGAAATTTCTAGTACACATAATGTCATACTTCACATCTGCCATCTGAAAGTAAAAGCATTTGCAGTTCTTTCTGTTTCTTGGTTTGCTAGTCACTAGGTTAGGTAGTAATAATAATCTTGATATTTCATTACCTAACAGAAATAGTTACCGTGGTTGTATACCGGGTGTTAAAAATTGAAAGTTGTGTTCTCGTCTTGAATAAATTATTTGATGACATCTATGATTGGACTAGATCCAAAAGTAAATCATAACATCACCTTCAAGGAATAGTTATTATCAGAATCATTGGTGTTTATTTGAAACCCATGCATAGATCCAGTGTTCATCAGCTTATTTTCTTTAATGGGTTGTATATTCGTGTTTAAAAAGAGGTCGCTGATCAGGAGTATATTATTGATAAATTTATTCGCATGTACTTATTCCTCAAGATGATTTCCTAATTTATAGTAAAACATTTTTCATTTCACAGGGTCAATTATTCCTATTTAATATGTTTGCAAGCGTATGCTTGGGTTGTCTCAATCAGTTCCCCAGAGTCCACGACTTTTATATTTGTCCCAAATCCAATCAAAGTACACTCGTTGCGAATGATGAATGTCCAGGCTTTCATGAAATCACGATTGTTATTTTAAGAGACCTAGAGGAAAATGATCAGCCCCCACCTTCTGGTCCTACCAAACTTCTTGAACTTGTCTTGTTCCCCAGGTTAGTAGGTTCTCGCGTTTTCCAGTGTTAATAAGCATTTGTGTCTATGACGTTCACACAAATAAGTTGGTCTGTCTGGCAAATAAGTCTAACCATCAAATCTGGGTTTGTTGTAAAGGTAAAATATCAAAAACAGAAATGAAATCAGCTAAACCGTCGACCTCTTGGATTTGATCATGGTATATTATATTCAATCCAGTGTGACTATTTCCAATTTACTAATAAGTTTAGAACAACCTCTAAAGCATGGCTACTATATGTTACTCGTGAAATATTAAAAATAATAACGCATCATATCGGTTTACAGAGCAGTCCAATTGTAAACATTTGACTGATATGTGTTAGTAAATCGCATTTCAATACCAATCTTCTTCGGTATAGAATTGAAAAGGATGGTAAGTTAGTGTGACATATAGTGAATAATATGATGACTTGTTGACTTTTATAAGCAGTATTTGATTTTACATCTTTTTACGATAACTGAAAATGGAGTTTCATAAGACAGACAGACACAACGCAGAACTTCGTACGTACATACATCAGTTTCATGAAAAGTTGAATTAAGAAAATTAGCAACATATTTTTGCTCATAGTATCTCATTTACCGATTTCCTTTTCATGTACCCGGCTTTAGCCACAGTTTATGTAAGAGTTGATTTTACTGTTCAATTGCCCAGACCAATTTAGGTGAGAAGGATTAAACATCTGGTTTAGTCGTTTCAAGTCATACGCTTTTATCACTAAACCACCACTCTTTGTTTGTTATTATTAAACAATATTGACGTCCAGTTAACTAAAGAGTAGTAGGAAGCATAATTTACCTGTACTTTCATACTTCTTGCAATCAGGAAGATGACAGTTATGGTTGTTCATACAACTTGATCTCTTGATAAATTTGAATAAAACGAGAACAATATTTTGAGAATAAAATGAACTTATTGTATTTCAGGGTTTCTCGTCAGCTGCAAACGGCCTTCCAAATTCTACGAAAAACCGTGTCTAGCTGATGTGAAACTCCGAAATATAATAAATTTATTTTATTCTCCAAATATTGTTCTTGCATTATTTCAAATTATAAGGAAGTTAGAGTTCTACAGTCTGAATCACTTTCTTCAAATACAATTACTTTGATTATGTTACTGTAGGGAACCAAATATACTATGACGATATTTTTTTGTTTATCATGATGGTATCTCATTTTTCCATGATAAGTTAATCTATTTACATTAAAATGATCTAAACCTGGGTGGAAAATATAACTTATTCTGGTGATAGGTAGTTATATAAAGTCGTTTTTACGGAGATATGGATATAAAAGTAACTTCTAAAATAAAAGAATATATGAACTATCCATTGTCTTTTAAATCTAATTCTGACAAACTGTGTTTGGTCAGACTTATCTTCGGTAAATTCTCTTATAGTAAAAATTTATAGTGAAAAGTGGAGTAAATGTAGCTGATTAATAGTCTTCAGTTATATAACTGCAACTAAATTGAGCTGGTGATTTTTTCCAAATATAGGAATCATCCTGTTCATCTCTTCTTATTCGTTCTTTTCTATTTTTACTGGAATATGTAGTCGAGAAACGTGTTACTATTAGTGAATATTTATCTTGTGTGTTATACTGCTACTTTATTCGATTATTTATTTCTTGAATTATTTTGTTGTACTCCTTAATTGATTAAATAATGTGAACTAATTTTGACAGTCAAATCACTAGAATTCTGTACACGTACTTAGCTGCATTCATTAAGTACCTAATAAATGTATTGGGGTGTTTGATGCTAAAAGACAGAAGTTGGTTGTCTTCCCTAGTAAACATGAGTATTAAAAGTGATACACTCTTGACAATCATCAGATGATTTTTGGATGCAAAGCACCTTGCAGATACTTAAAGCTATAGAGAATTGAAACGCAACTAAACCATTTGTCGCCCCCCCCCACTGTGTTCTTCGTTCCCGTTCTATCATCTTCATTGAAAAGGTTCTTTACCAAGGATTTTAAAAAAATAACCAGTTCTCATTCACCTAATAGCTTTCATTCTATTTGTGATACGTCCTTAAGTTGGGATGGACTAAAAATAAGTGTATTTCATGTAGATATTGTAAGAAGCTACTTTGAGAACCTCCAAATTTTTATGTGGTTTATTTATTTTATTCTTTGAAAATTACATTCGTAAATCGTGAAGTTAGGCGTGTGACGGAACAACGAATTGATTACCCGTCCACATGAATGGAAATTATTTTTCACCAAATACTTTTTGTTTATCATATTATAGCTACCAAGTTATATACCAAATTCATATCAGCGATGATTCATGGCTACTTTCTGATTATGATGTAGGCAGCTATAAAATTATTTCTTCTGATGCTCCAATACTGTATGCAGAGTTGCTGTCTAAAAGTCCCAGTGAGGCAACAGAAGACTTTCTTTTGTCTATAAAAGGACTGAAAGCAACTGATCCGAAAGAGAGGTAAGCACTTTGCTATTGACTTGATTCTAATATTGGTTGGATTGCCACTAGTAATATTGCCTCGATGCTCCCGTCGAAATCATATTATAGGTAGGTTTTATAATGTAAATTGTTAGTATAGACTTGTTCCAGTATTTCCATCACTTTCAGGTAGTTTGGTGGAATATAGATAAATTCGAAAATTATCTGCATGCATATTTCATCTAAGGCTGCTACAAGTTGAGTTAATGGATGATATGTTAAGTATGATATACCTTGTAACTCTTTAAGTTTAAGCGTCTACAAAATAGTAATCAATACCATTTTGTTGGAATTGAGATTGGTAATCTCATCGGACTTTTCAATTACGTCTGAAAAATGGAAACTTATGCCAAGTTAACGTTGGAAGTTTCATCGTATGTAATGGTATGAACAAAAAGAGAATAACCTACTGGTTATAAAATGACTTCATCGTATTTCCACTGTTCTTGGTGTGTATGTATACAGTGTGTTTCGTCCCATTTAACAAGCTTTTTATCCTAAACACACATTTTCCAAAGTTTATTTATTTATTTGGTTTCATTTTTCGTTATATCTGATGATCCCTATTCAAAAGTGGTTATTGTGGTAATATGAACGTCTAAATGTTTACGCTGGGTAATACTACCGTGTAGAATTAATTATCAAATCTCCAGTTAATCGTTTTGCTGATGTGTGCGATCACCATAGTAAATTTTTTGCTGATTCAAATACTATTTAGAAATGCTGAGTTATGTATGATAAGTACCAATGTTTTAGTTCTTAGTTTTACTAATGCATAAATGCTTACCTCGTTTCCCACTCTCTTAAAGGTTATTGCATCTTCTAAAATCTGAAAAGTTTGAAGAAGCTCGGTTACTCGTTAAAACGTTTAATCTTGACTCTCAAGTAAGTTTCAAGACAAGGTTTCTGATTATTTCCTGCACTTTTATAACCAATCATAATGTTCTGTTGTTAATAAAAGAAATTCTGAGCAGTCATCATGAAAACGTAGTCCGGTTATTTTATACTAAACTTTCATTCAGCATTAAGTATTAATTAGATTACTGGAACTAATAATGTTTGTTTTTCAAATATATATTAGTGCCTAGCACATATTGAAGAGTATACAACATTTTTATGGCATAAACCAAGAGGGTCTACTAAATGCTGCTTGCTTACTGTGTTTCACGTCAGCAACCGTGTTTCAACAAGATCTTATGCTGTAGCTCCTTTTTGGTTATTGTTGTTACTACAGATCCATATGCAAAACAATTAAACAATCAAGAGTTTTATTATTATAACCGAAAAACAACAATACACATCATGTTTCATTCATTTCTTCAGTCTTACAACCCAATTCAATTAAAGTACCTGTGTCGTGTACTTCAGCGTATATTGAGTGACACAACTGGATACAGTTCCGTGTGAAAATTGAAATATGTGTTACATACGACACCTATCATACTAAAATATTTGATAACCACGAAGCGTTAAGTAAACTTCTAGTTATTTCTCTTCGAATTTGATCATACTTATATCATTTGAAGTTCCTTTCTTTACGGAGTAATAATCCCATATATATATATATATATATATATATATATATATATATATATATATATATATATATACGTTAAGAATTCTAAAAGTGGCAGAACACAATTTGTGTATTGAAATACATGATTCACTGTTGTAAAGATTACGAATTATGCAACCTAGAAGGTGTCGAGACTTGGTGGTCTGTCTAGATAACTGTTTTGAAAAAGAAAAATTAGGAAAGTACTTGAGTCCTAAGTCCTTTATTGTATGAAATTTCGATAGCACCTTACCATTTATGGTTAGGTCTAGGTTGGGTAAAAAATTACCAAAGTCGATCCATCCACATTTGGTAGTGTCAAGCTCCAACTTACATCTTGAGCACCACTGGGCCACTTAGTTATTCATTGCAATTGGGCATAAAATTGTTCATATGTACTCGAATAGAATGATACATGGATAGCTTTACCTAGTTATTCAGTTGGTCAAAAATCATATATTGTTACTCATCAGCTTCATTTCATTGTTTAAAAATGATAACTTATACAATAATAAGTAAATATATAAAACCATAAATATATGATGAGTTGCTTGTTTAGCGATTTTTGAAAATTCAATTATTTAATTCAAACTTGTGTATCCCAGTAATTTGCTTCATTATCATAAATAATGGAATTTCTGATTGAAAAAGTTCATTAAAAATACCATGTTAAGTATATAGAAGTCAGTATTCATTTAGAGTACAATTTACTCACTTTTGTGCGTCCTATTGTATGGAGGTTCATGATAATAAAATGACACATTTTAAACTCCTTAATCGTAGTTTTAAATAGTTGTTTAGTAGTGTTTCTGATCTCTGTTGACCATTCAAATATTGATTCTCTTAGTAAAATGTTGTTTATTATGTAGCGTCCGAATATTACTTAATACTCGTTTATAATGTGACACTAAACATTTACAACTCAAGTTATGGATGTTATCACAGTTTCATTATACTTAAACAATTTCCCATAATTACAGTTTTCGACTTCAGCCTATTACTTATCTGTAGTACAATTTCAAACAAATTATTTATCATTAATCTTCTGTTTTGTTTTATAAAGGATTTTCAGTTGGTATTATTAACCGAATTAGAATTTCTAGTGAATACAATTTATAAGGATGACCAAAATAACGATCTCTTTTATCAAAGACTAATTATATGTTTACAACAAACTGAGGTAAGTGATTAATCATCTGATATTTACTCTGAAGTTTGTTTATTATCAAATATAATTTTCGTTCACTATTTTCTTATTAAAAGATCTATAATCAAAACAAATTCAGAATTTTTTAATTTTACTAATCGTGGAGTAGTTTATCCGAAATGTAACTTTAAATGATCATTCAGTGTAATGCGTCAAAGGTTTCAAGCCTTCTAAATAGAAATTAATTAATTTCAATAATAAACTAATCAGACATATTGATTCATTTCCGTAACTTACAGTTAGCAGATTTCCGTTTGTCTATATGAAGTTGAAGTATTTTTAAATAGTGAAGATATTTCGATAGATTTCCATCATATAATTTTTTTTAACTTTCTTGATTTAGATTTATCTACAATGTGGCCACTATCTACCAGGTGTGCTAAGATAGAACTGCGTATTGCTTTTGACTGACCCTTTGTAAACCATGCTGGGAGATGTTCACTCATTCGTTGTGTAAGTTGCCTGGAAGTACGCCCGATATAGCTATCTCCACAGGAGCAGCTGAATTTGTAAATGCACATAGAGGAGGCCAACTCAGGCAACTTATCCTTCGTTTGGGTAGACATCGCTGGTCGACTGGAGAAAGTCAATGCAAGTTTGGCAGCGTTGAATGTTCTACTAATTACTCTTACTAATCTGTCCTGCAGAGTATCGCAGGCCACATCCCCGTTGAATTGTAACTTTATAAATAAAGGTTTCTTTTGGGCGGTCGAAACCACCGACTTCTTTTTTACGGCAGACATATACTTCTTTATGAATGCGCTGGGATAACCAATCTCGGTTAGTGAGTCGTTGATAAATTCCAGCTCCTGACTTAACGTATCCACTGAACATATCATATTTGCTCTGTTAGTGAGGCATCTAACCAAATTTCTTTTGTAGCGGATAGGTGTAAAACTACAAAAGTGGGTGTATTGGCAAGCACTGGGATTTTTTCTATATACGCTTCTACTTAGTGAACCATCATTACGTCTACTTAGTGTGATGTCAAGGAAACTCAGTTTCTTATCGTATTCTTCTTCACCAGTGAACGTGATTGCCGGGTGTACACTGTTGAATTCGTCTAAGAGTTTTTCTATTCTGATGTCCTGATCTACAATGATGAATGTGTCATCGACGTAACGGCAATATAGATCAAGTTTCTGAATAGTTTCATTTAGTGGTCCATTTTCTAGCTTTGCTAGAAAGAGATCAGCTAGAATTGGGCCAAGAGGTGAACCCATGGCTATACCGTCTATTTGTCTGTAATAATTGTTGTTGAATACGAAATGGACATTCATCGTACATCTTAGGAATAGTTCTTTCAGGCAATCTTCGAGCAAGCAAATTTTTATTTGTTTCTACTTAATTTGTTCGCATATGAATTCAATGGTCTCAAGGAGTGGTACGTTGGTAAACAAAGAAACTACATCCAGTGAGATCATATTTTTCCTGCTAACATTCATATTTTCTATCTTGGAAGTGAACTCAAAAACGTCTTTTACACTCCTACGTACGACTGATTTATGCAATGGCTCTAAAATTCGAACTAGCCACTTCGCAATTTTATGGTACGGGGAATTAAACATATCAAGAACCGGGCGTAGAGGAAGACCCGATTTATGAACTTTTGGTAAACCATATAGTCGTGGTGTGTAGGATCCAGTAGGCTTAATTAAGTCGTGGATTTGAGGCGTAATAATGCCTTTTTTCTTTAATTCCTTGATAGAGTTTGTCAATTGATTTTCTACTTTTTTATTGATATCATTATTACAGGTGACTTTTTGGAACTTGCTAGGATCATCGAGCATTCCTTCCATTTTAGTTATGTAATCAGTTTTATTCATAAGAACGATACCTCCCCCTTGTCTGGTTCGCTTATGATCAAGGTCTCATCTTTCTTCAGTTTTGTTAAAGCCTCACGATGCAGTTTCGTGAAAAGGCGATTCGTAGGACACTTACTATTCTTATACTGTAGGCAGCTATCGACCAACGTTGTCTTAAATCTAGCTACATCTTCCACTGAGGTAGGGACAAGGTCAGTTGTTTGCGAAAATAAATTCTCAAACTGCACATCAGTATCTAATTGATTGGGCTTCTGCCCATTATCGCAGAATTTAGGCCCGAGGGACAAAGCTTCTAACTGTATATCATCAAGTACAATATTTGAAAAATTATGTACATACCGAGTCGGATCAAGAGGAAATTCATTCTCAGGTTTTTGATTTTCCAGAGTTTTGACTAGTTTTCTCATAGTCTTCTCAGATCTATTCTTAGATACTTTTTCGACATAGTTCATAAATTCTGAATGAATCTCAGATGGCAGGCTGTGTACGGAATGTTGTCTGAGGAGAAGATTCCTTTCCAAGTCTCGGATATTCATTTTTAGGGTATCGATTTCATTGGATGCATGTCTTTCAAGAGTTTTTGCATTAGTGTATTAAAGATTCCCATTGTGAAAGTTAGAACAACATGTGGGGATCCTGCTGCATTTAAGGCACTCAATGAGTTCCTGAAGTTTAGTGCGCGTCTCACGGGAGCGAAAACAAGCTTAGGATTTACTATCAAATGTATTCAGTCTAACATAAATCCTAAAGTATATTGGAAGTCATTGCGCCGGAACAGAATATATCCTAATGCAAAAACTCTTGAAAGACATGCATCCAATGAAATCGATACCCTAAAAATGAATATCCGAGACTTGGAAAGGAATCTTCTCCTCAGACAACATTCCGTACACAGCCTGCCATCTGAGATTCATTCAGAATTTATGAACTATGTCGAAAAAGTATCTAAGAATAGATCTGAGAAGACTATGAGAAAACTAGTCAAAACTCTGGAAAATCAAAAACCTGAGAATGAATTTCCTCTTGATCCGACTCGGTATGTACATAATTTTTCAAATATTGTACTTGATGATATACAGTTAGAAGCTTTGTCCCTCGGGCCTAAATTCTGCGATAATGGGCAGAAGCCCAATCAACTAGATACTGATGTGCAGTTTGAGAATTTATTTTCGCAAACAACTGACCTTGTCCCTACCTCAGTGGAAGATGTAGCTAGATTTAAGACAACGTTGGTCGATAGCTGCCTACAGTATAAGAATAGTAAGTGTCCTACGAATCGCCTTTTCACAAAACTGCATCGTGAGGCTTTAACAAAACTGAAGAAAGATGAGACCTTGATCATAAGCAAACCAGACAAGGGGGAGGTATCGTTCTTATGAATAAAACTGATTACATAAATAAAATGGAAGGAATGCTCGATGATCCTAGCAAGTTCCAAAAAGTCACCTGCAATAATGATATCAATAAAAATGTAGAAAAACAATTGACAAACTCTATCAAGGAATTAAAGAAAAAAGGTATTATTACGCCTCAAATCCACGACTTAATTAAGCCTACTGGATCCTACACACCACGACTATATGGTTTACCAAAAGTTCATAAATCGGGTCTTCCTCTACGCCCGGTTCTTGATATGTTTAATTCCCCGTACCATAAAATTGCGAAGTGGCTAGTTCGAATTTTAGAGCCATTGCATAAATCAGTCGTACGTAGGAGTGTAAAAGACGTTTTTGAGTTCACTTCCAAGATAGAAAATATGAATGTTAGCAGGAAAAATATGATCTCACTGGATGTAGTTTCTTTGTTTACCAACGTACCACTCCTTGAGACCATTGAATTCATATGCGAACAAATTAAGGAGAAACAAATCAATATTGGCTTGCCCGAAGATTGCCTTAAAGAATTACTCCTAAGATGTACGATGAACGTCCATTTCGTATTCAACAACAATTATTACAGACAAATAGACGGTATAGCCATGGGTTCACCTCTTGGCCCAATTCTAGCTGATCTCTTTCTAGCAAAGCTAGAAAATGGACCACTAAATGAAACTATTCAGAAACTTGATCTATATTGCCGTTACGTCGATGACATATTCATCATTGAAGATCAGGACATCAGAATAGAAAAACTCTTAGACGAATTCAACAGTGTACATCCGTCAATCACGTTCACTGGTGAAGAAGAATACGATAAGAAACTGAGTTTCCTTGACATCACACTAAGTAGACGTAATGATGGTTCACTAAGTAGAAGCGTATATAGAAAAAATCCCAGTGCTTGCCAATACACCCACTTTTGTAGTTTTACACCTATCCGCTACAAAAGAAATTTGGTTAGATGCCTCACTAACAGAGCAAATATGATTTGTTCAGTGGATACCTTAAGTCAGGAGCTGGAATTCATCAACGACTCACTAACCGAGATTGGTTATCCCAGCGCATTCATAAAGAAGTATATGTCTGCCGTAAAAAAGAAGTCGGTGGTTTCGACCGCCCAAAAGAAACCTTTATTTATAAAGTTACAATTCAACGGGGATGTGGCCTGCGATACTCTGCAGGACAGATTAGTAAGAGTAATTAGTAGAACATTCAACGCTGCCAAACTTGCATTGACTTTCTCCAGTCGACCAGCGATGTCTACCCAAACGAAGGATAAGTTACCTGAGTTGGCCTCCTCTATGTGCATTTACAAATTCAGCTGCTCCTGTGGAGATAGCTATATCGGGCGTACTTCCAGGCAACTTACACAACGAATGAGTGAACATCTCCCAGCATGGTTTACAAAGGGTCAGTCAAAAACAATGCGCAGTTTTCTTTTTTTATCCCGATTTCTTCCGGTTTGGTATTAGTTACGTGGGTGTTATTAAAACCACTGCATTTTCACATTCATTTCTTTTAATGGTAAAGAATAATCCCATTTTCGAACAATGATTGATCATAATTTATGATATTTACAGTCAGCCAACTTCAACGTAGAACTTCGTAAGTGCGCACATGCATCCGTTCAGGTTGCCTTACCACATTAACATATGTAGACGGTTGTAGCAGTATTACTGGTATTGCAAAATATTATGTATATAAAATATTATTCGAGAAGTATAATCCAGTGAAACTAGGAAGAAAAGAGAAATTCTGATAAATTCAGATGACTAGAATTTAAGAGAAGACAAATAATGGATGCATCTTATTATATTTACAACGCCATCCCTACTCTATGGCAACAGCCTTTTAGTGTTAGTGATTACCTCGTTCTTGTTGTATTAATTTAATTTAATCATGTGACAAGAAGACGTTTGCTCTGATTGAGACCAGTGAGACGGGTAGTTCTCCGTGTAGTTCTGAGATTGCAGCTAATATCTCAGTTGTAGGAATAATTTCTTGTTGTCTATAGTGTTTTACCCTATGTCCTGTTTTGGGTTGAGATGTTGTTGAAGGATAGTTGAACTGTTCTCTAAAATGTCCTACTCATCGGTTCAATCTCCAAGATAAGAGATGTATTAAGAGGTGTGGAAGAATATGTTGGTTACCAAGTTGATATCGTGTGCAGCTAGAGGTATGAGGTTGGATGTCACTTTCCAATTACTTACACTGTAGAAGGGTATTACTGAGATATCTTAAAGGAAATCTGGGTTAGAGTTGGTCTTAGTGCCTTTGAAGTGTGGCCGTAGAGCTGAAGGGCAACTGCTTGAGGCAGGTTGAGATGTTAACGTGTTATCTCCTCTCTTCAAATAGCCTTACCTTCGAAGACAGAAATCCATGAGGTAATATGAGGTGTGGTATTTTTATGGTCGACCTTTTTGTAACCCCTTCCTTTCTTGTGAGAAGGCAGCATCGCTGCAGATGCTGGTTGTCTGAGGGAAACACACTGCTGTCACACTTTTTGACAGTCAGCAGTACAACTTCGCCCTCAGACCTTGAATTACTGCTGTTTTTTTAAATTTGCCTTTCTACAATTGACCTGTTTGTCATCTGTTCCAGCCAACATAGCTCGGTTGGATCACCACAATCGGCAAGCCCTTTATCAGGTCACGGTTACTGCAAATGTCGGGTTTATGACATTTTGACCTGATTGATTCTGTTTGTGTGCACAAATTCTATCTGACTTTCTTACTAATTATGACCTGTATTTGTATTGATGTTTGTTTTACGATACTCAATTTTTGCTTACACCGATTTTTCTTGAAATATGCTTGTTGAACATTTAATAGTTATGCTCATCCTACTCTTTATGGTTGTTAACTGTTACAAGTTCATCGTTGTTATCATAGCTCTCTCAGTCATCCATAATAAAGAAAAGGTTGTATGATTTTCTGTTATATTAATTTGGTCTTCGTAATAGTTATAATTTACTTCTATTACCGGTAAACATTAATAATTAACTAAGAACTCCAACCAATAAAAACTTTAACAGAAGAAATTTAGTTTTCAAATATTATTGCGAAATATATGACATCTATTACAAACAGATGCAAACCAAAGGACATGTTTCAAAGAAAGCTAATATATCTGAGTTCTAACTTTCAGTATCATGGCTCAGGTTTTTTTACATGCAATGATTTTTATATTTACTTTCTGATTAGGAGTTATGGAAAAATTTAGAGATTGTTGCATCGGTTTTGAAAATCACTATGCCAAAATCAGATGACCAGTTAAAATTACTTCTAATTGTCAAGGAAAAGGTCAGTTTAGTTGTATTTTCTACATGTTCATTTTGGTCAAACATTGTATCATATTGGTGCATATTATTCAATTATTTATTCTAAATTTCTGTAAAATTATCCATTCCATAGTCCCTACAAAATTGTTGTGTTCTTGCTCATTCAGTAATTAGTCTTAACCCGATTTCGCCCAACACGTCATATATAAATCAGCACTCTTAACATAGTCCTAATCAATTAATAACTAGATTTCTGGAAGTTTCATATTTATTCGAAACTCGATATGGTACTGCAAATGAACTATATTGTTAGTTTCTTAGTATGACATATTAGTGTTACCTCTGTGGCACTGTTTCAATCAGACAGACCGCATGTTTTTCAACTAATTTTTCCTAAATTAAGTCCGTTTTTTTTATTTAGCTTAGAGCTTTGTCAACATAACGATAATGGTTTTTGTTCATGAATTTGTATTTTCGTTAAAAAGAGAACCCGACTAATCTCAATGTTTAAGTGATTAAAAAAAGAATATTATTCTACTTCCCATTAGTAGAAGTAGAAATATCATTTCAGAAACATTTTAATCAGTGTAAGTCCTGGCAACTACTTAATGTTTTCGCTTTCATTTGATTTTGTCAGTTGACTATGGATAATCCTGAAGACATGTCTACTGCTCATGAAGATATCGGAATAAAAGTATGTTTTGACTAGGATTTTTGGTATTATTTGATATCTCGCTTGTCTCTGCTTAGAACGTTAGCTTGTCTTTGGTTTTTTTTCCCTTTCTGGAATATCTATGTATTGTATTCAATTTATAAAAATAGTTAAATGTATAAAAATAATCATTTAATCCACTTTATGTTGAGCTGATAATACAATCATTAGAGCACACTGTAAACAGGCGTGCTCTGTTTTAAGAATTCCTGGCCAGACATCAATAATTATCATCATTGTGATCTCTTATTTCATATATCTTGTTGTTTTATGTCTACCGACGGCCTAGTCAAGCTATGTTTTGCGATATAGGAATAGCTTGGACGAAAGCTAGGGGCGGCCGGACCAAAACATGGCACAAATCCATGAAGTCACTGACAAGTAAACTGAATCATGTCGGTAGGTGTCGACTACCTGGTTGGTGTCAGTGAGATGATAATAATTGACGGTTAGAGAACCTGAGTGACATGGCTCAAAAACCGTTTGCAATGGCGCAGGTAGATTTATTCTTTGTGTTCTATCATATCCTAATCTTCTGAATTCCTCATCACCTCTATCTTTCTCTTTCTAAATTTACCTCACTGAATTACACCTGTTGAATAACATCTTCTAACCCTAATCTCTCCGATTACTTCTAATACTTTTACTACCTCAACTACTATGGGATTTGAATTGAAAATTATATTTCTGTGCTAATGTGGAATGGCAACTTAAACTGCTGTACTTAAGTGCAAAGTTCTATGTTGCTGTTGATGATGATGATTTATGTCTTGGGCATATCATTTAGATAATGTTAATAAGAGGTTAACGTCATTTTTCAGTAGTTGCACTAAATGACCTGGTTAATCATGATTTGCAGTATTTATACATTCAGCAAATTATTTAGTGTTGAACACCTGAGGAATAAATTACATTTTCAACAAAATTTTGAAATGAAGTTGTCAATAAAATGTCATAGATTCTTTGAATTTAGTAATTCCGTGCTTGTTGTTGATCTTATGCTTGAAATTCCTTGAATCGTTTTCCTTTATCGGTAACATAAAACTACATGTGAATTTTTGTAAAAACTCTATATCTCCCTTTTTATATAAACAATTTACACAAAGAATCCAATTAAACTTTGCTGGTAAATAATTGTCTTTAGTTATTGATTGTCTGTACCATAAATTTCTGTGTTTCATAATTCCATCAGGCTATCTTTCTGATGATGTCTTAATGTTCAGACAAAAATATAACACATTTATTTTACTGTTTCAATACCTGTGGTTAAACTATAAGGCAATTTAATTTCACACTGAGTGATCAAATACTGGTTTCTTCATCACTGAATAATATACTACATCCGATGTTGTTTTTAACTATCAGCCATACAGAACCAAGTGTAGTGGGAATTTGATTATATGTCTTCATGATTGATTTACTAACTGTTATGTATACTGGTTTTCAATCTAAGATTTTATTTGACTCAAATTCCATGTTACGTTTTGTATTATTGGACCATAGTATACTATCTATATCTATTTGATTATGTTTTTTCTAGGTACTCATTTTACTGAAACGTTTCAAGGCATTTTTAATGATTTATGGGTCTGATAGTTATACGTAAGTTTTTGAAAATATTTATCAAACAAGCCTAAGCTATTTACTTTTAAAACGAATCGCTGATTTCGAACATTTAATATTATTTCCAGTTTTTAAGAAAGTGCTCATGATTAACTTGATCATTTACATAACTAATGTAGTTATTAGATGAGGCAGGCTAATATGATGTTAACTATTAAGATCATTGTTTAACGAATTTCAAAGTTTATATGTACTTGTTCTCGTTCAATGTTTTCCATTTATTTGAATATATGTTTATTGGTGTAGGCCCCTCTCATTTGCAGTGTCTTCAGAAGAGAAAATAAGAGGGCAGTAGATTAGACTTCTCATACAGTAGCACACTGATAAACAATTGGACCGTTAAAATGACAGCTAAAAGTTGATGTATTCAGACATATTATACTCACTTGATTTTCTTGACTTACCTGCTGCACAAATCTCTTCCTCTTTTTTCAGTCCAGAAACTTGGATTGAATTTCGCGATGCAAATGTTTATGCTATATTTGCTCGTCTCTTTCTTTCTAAATCACCATCTGCTGAAGATAGAACATCTGATCCAAGCCAAGCATTTTTATTTTGGATTCTGTATAAGGTCAGTTGCTTTATTCTGCTACTTTATCTGTATTATGTTCAGAATTGGTTAGTGACCGATGTAAGCTAGAATGTATTAGGTTACTTCCGGCCTTACTTAGTGAACAGTGTATATACCATACATTTATATACATTCACATATCAGTTTAAGAGAAAATCCCTAAAACCCTGAGCTCCATTTCTTAGTAAATCACATGCACTTATCATCTGGAGGATTTCTAATTGGTCCGCTACACCAGTTTATCTGCAACATATGGTGTATTTATGTGGTACTTATGAAAAAAGTATGATCGAATGAAATCATCCCTGATATTAAAATGTCGTAACATAATTTGAGTTACTTATTACTATTTAGTAGTACAACGTGAATAAAACCATAAATCGCGTTCAGCTGGAGTAGAGTGAAAACAACTCATTCTCTAAGTGCCGTCATTCGTTCGTGCTCCCAAATTTCTACCGAAGATATTTGTCTCTTTCAATGGCCACGTGAACACTTTAGCCAGTTAACTCATCATATCTTCTATACCTAATCTTTTCTAAAACCACTGGGACTATTACTATGTATAATACTCTCGATTATCGCTTTGCTGATATACTGTGACAACTGGAACCAACGTACATATTTAGCAGCTCCTACGTTGCTTATGAATTACATTCATGTTATTAGATTGTTTTGGCGTCAATAATTTGCATATAAGTCTAAAGATTACCGAAAAGTAGTTTCACTGATTATGTAATAAACAAAAAATGAAATCTTTTCTCAATATTCACCTTTATATCTAAATTATGTTGAGCTAGTTGATTCAATCATTTACTGTTAAATGTTAGGGATTAAGGATCCTTAAATGCTATATTCATGGATAAATCAATTCCACAATTCAAAGATTGATTTAAAGTAAACATTGTTTACTAACTTATACTGTATTCTCGCACGCGATTATCATCTATTCATTATGAAATTTATTATTTCGTATTCAATGTATCTTCATTACATTAATTAATACAGTGAAAATTGTATTCGGTCATGTATACTCCATTAATAGAATACAATTGTTTTAATCCATATATAACCAATTTATTTTGTTTGTGGCTTTGAAATATATTTACGTTTCTTTCCAAGTTTTGTTTCAATTTTTTAATCAGTCGAGTGTAGTGAAGTCCTCAAGAATAATAAGCCGTAAAGACTTATTAGTAAATAAGAGCGAAATTCAAGAAATACTTACATTTCAATTTCAGATATTTTAAGAGACAATTTTACTATAGACAACAAAAGTATTTATAACTACAATATAAATAATTTCACAACATAATTAAAGTGTTGTGACTTGTTAAGTTAGATAATCGAAATTGCCAGAGTTTAGAAGGAAGCCAAGTAACAGTCTTTTTTGTTTCATTACAAATTTTCATTTTCAAATTTTACAGCAATCTTCCTCATAAATCATCTGCTTGATTTTTTACCAAAGGCTTTTTTAGATACATTCCTCTGAAATTGGATTGCGATATTATTACTATGCTCGAATGAAATAGCTGCCCAGTACTTCCTGGCTTTTAATAGTTTTCTAGCTAATGTCAGTCCATGGTGTGAGCTATAATATTCAACAATCTCCACAAGTCTTCTTTACTTATGGTGTATGGTTTTTGTTCACTATACTATGCCACTTTTCATTAAACCTGTTGCGAGTGATAGTTGCATCCTGGTCCGACGTGTGTGAATACGGAAATCATTATTTAGTTCCGGAGCCTAAATCACAGAGCTATACTCTCGTAGTATATAAACCCTAGACATTAAAGACAACTGGCGTTCGAGGATCAACATTAAGTTGAGTTGTGCTATAAACAAAATAAAAATACTTAATGAAAGTACACGAATTTCTCTTCAACTGCTTACATACTAAAATTATTGGTAATTCTTAAAATAAAATCATGTGCACATTTTATACCATAATATTAGAAATGTTCTAATCGGTAAAGATAAATAAACTAACAATAAATATGGCAAGATTATGAGAAATGATGTTAAATAAAATAAAATCTGTATGAGAGGAAATTTTAAAAGTGCATGGAGACAGGTTGATGAAAAAAATGATATTTAGCGTTACATCCTGATGACTGGGTGATTGATTGATTGCAGGAATGAAATAAGTATGAATCGGATAAAAACAAGAAGAGAATGAAGGATATGTATACATCATTTTATGCACAAAATGTTACATAATTACATGTCGGAAATTGAGGTCATCAGGACAAAGCAACAATTATACCAGTATCTTTTAGAATACATAGATAAATTTAAAGGCTCTTGTTAGTAATGGCTTTGGCTTCGTTTTGTTCCGTTCAACTATTATTTCAGAGATAGATAAGCTCTGTGTAAGTAAAAAAATCTCCAAGTTCTGCACACACAATGTTAATCGGTTTGAAACGATTGACATTTAAAGATGAAATGAAATATATAGAACTTTATTATTAATTATCATGCAATAAAAGTCGTTAAACTTGTAAATAAATTGAGCAGTATTCGACATTTCTTCATTAACCGTACAATTTCTTTTATTCTTTTTATAGGGCGAATTATCAGAGTATTTAACATGGGATACCCTAGAGCTTTTGTTTGATTTGTTGTCCAAACGACCTTTAACTTGTATTGCATCTGAATATTCATGTAATAATAATGATGATGATGATGATGATGGTAACGCAGGTTTACCGTATCAATCAAATGAACTAGAACTTTTAGAGTCTGAAGAGGCTATTCAGAAATGGATACGTAATGAATTACTTCCTGTTGTAATCAGACGATTACCAGAAGCTTTAGTATGTTTACTTTTATAACAAATAACTATGTTCATTTGAATAATCTGTTTATTTAAAAATTAACTATACATACTCACGTGTTATGTCGTTTTTTTTGTATCCAGTAGATAGTCTAAATAATTTATCGTTTGAAGTAAAAAAAGATATTCACGCATATATATATATTCACAATTTGTTATGATTTAATTTTTATTCTGCTTTTAACTTTTATGATATTCAAAAATTCTAATATTATTCATTTACAATGATGAGTTGTTATTTTTTTCATCAAAAACATTGTGTTATTAATATTGCCATTTTAATTTTAAATAAAATATTGTATATTCTGTCTGGTTGATGGAAAAGATATATTCAAAAAAATATTTCATGTTATTGCATTATGTTTCTCTTTGCTATACATGTAGAATTCTTTATTAATAACAAAAAGTTTACTGTTCTGTGAATTTATCTACCTGTATTTTATCATATACTTGGATTTCGGATGCATAGTATTTATTCTGTTTATTGTTAAATTCGAAACATTTTATGATTACCATGTGTATAATTTCTACCCTAATATATTTGCCTCTTTTATATTTTCAATTAGCCCATGTTTGCTAAATATTTAACTCAACGTGTTAAAGAACTAGAAGCTTGTTCTTTCACTTCAAATTCTAATAGTCATGTACAAGAAAGCAAAATTAAATGTCCATTTTCATGGCCTTCCACAGCAATATCATGGATTAATAAATTTTTAGATACTGTAAATATCTCAGAATTAAACAGTGCAGAATGTTATCTTAATATTGGTAGTATAGCTGATTTATATCTATCTGGTCTAGCTAGTCGTAATCCTGATGTTGATCCATTTTATGAATTGAGAAAATTATCAAAACAATTGGATACTATTAAACTTTTACGAGATGTGTAAGTGCTTTTCTAAGATTTCTTTTTTGTTTTGTTTTGCGTTTACTAATTACCTGAGATCAAATTTGTTTGGGTGTTTATTGAATAACTTCAATTGACTAATCAGTCTTGGATATTGAGGTTTTACAATGCTCTAACTGGAAATGTGAATATTTTATTCCACTTTTTTAGCATTTAATGTTCTGTTTGCCTATTCATTTAGTAGTGCGTCTGTTAAAGACCAATTTACTTATCCAACAAGTTGATCAATCCTCGTCAATGAATGGTGAACATATTTTCGATCCCCGTAAAGTAATCTTCCTTGTGCCACTTGCGGCATACACAAAGTATCCATCTTCCAATTAGAACCATGATCCCTAATAATATATGTTTTACAAATACCACTACCTACCGAACGTTCTACGTTGGTGATCGTAGGCGTTCATTGAAAGAAAGCTAGAGATATCAAAAGCAAGGCATGTGCTGTGTTTTCTTAGTCTGATTTAATCATAGTATATATGCTTCATAACTGTTGACTGAAACAGTAAATTGTGAAGATTAGGAATAAATAGAAAACTTGGCTCTGAAGGCTAAATAAATATGTTCATAAGTCATACTCAGTTGGGGTCCATGAGACAACGGTAACCAATGGCTAGAGACTTTGAATGACATTGCTCAAAATCGTTTGCAATGGCGCAAGTTAATCCATTCTTTGTGTTCTCTCAATTTGTAATCTTCTGAATTAATCATCACCTTTATCTTTTCAAGTTTATTTCACTGAATAAAATTTCTCGAATCACATTTTCGATCCCTAATCTTTTGCATTACCGATAATACTGCTACAACCTTAACTTCTATGGAATTCGAATTGACAGTGCAATCCCTCTGTGTCAATGTGGTATGGCTACTTGGACTGATGTTTGTACGTTCGTAGTTCTACGTTGTAGCTGATTGACATGCGCATATATATATATATATATATATATATACATATATATATTCTAGATAAAAACTTATTATCAGTTGTTTCACTATAATGTACAAATTTATAAATCCTTTATTCTCTATTCCAATATTATTGTCTATAAAAAAATAAGTAATTATAAATGAAAAGTACCGATTTTTCTCTCGAAAATATTGACATAATTTGCCTCATTCCTTTCGTCATTATTTGCTATTCATGTTATGTATCTTGTTTACTAACTATTTTAAATTATAGTGCTTCACCTGCACAATTTAATACACATGTAAGCTTACTATTAAATACGTCAACTGGGTTTATAAAGCTTTGTTTTATAAGATTTGGGTTAGATCAATTTTATATCTTTTCAATATGTTTCCTGTCTATGATAGTGAACTTACTCCATCTTTGTTTTCATCCCTGAAAATTATCGAAAGGGTAATGAAACCTCACTTTTCCAGGGTTTCGATCAATAAATTGATACTGCTGTTCATAGATTTATTTGATTATTGGGTGGACTATATGCATTTGACTTCAGATTTTAATTGTTCTGATATTCCCACTGAATTATCGCCAAGTTTTAAAGTAAAAACTTAATTTTATTTTGAAAAACTTTTTAAAACTTTCTATGACTGTAGTTTCTTTCTTCCTCTATTTTCAAGTTATAATTGTCAACTATCGATTGATTGTTGTGAAGGGGAAACAGAATTGTCTATTGCTTATCGTATCCTTGATGTTGCATTTAATCTCGGTACACGTTTTGAAAATGGTGTAGATAAACTAACAGCACGATATTTAAAGGTAAATCACAAGTTAAAGTGATAAAAGTTGTTGATAATTTTGATATACCTAACTTACTCTTTCAAATGGGTGAATATTTAAATATTCGCAAACAAGTACTTTACTCTATTTTGTGATTGATTAACCTTTTCCCTATAGGCTGATAAGTCTGCTTTATATCAATGTATCTGCTAATTTCAAACTACCCTAACTTCTATGTCTTTGGGAATTGTCAGGCACATTTGAAATCCTATCGATTCAGAGCGTGCTCATTTTGTTATAGCCATGGGTTAGTCATAACGAAATACAGGTGATCATACAATTGTAAAAATCATACTATGAACGTCTTGATTCACTGGACATTTTTTTCTCCGTTGCTAATCATCTATATCTATCATTTTAAACTGTTACATCCTGAACGACTGCGTTATAAATTTCAGATTGCTCTTTCTCTGTAGCTGATTTCGAATGTGTTGTTTTACTAGATCAACAATGAACTATTTTAATTTACATTCATTGTTACATTTACTTCCCAACTGTATGTACACTTATTTTTTATCAGACTATATCTAAGTTTATAATGTTGGTTGATTAAGTTAACATATAGATGTAACTGTAAAAAGTACATTCTCTTAACTGAACCAACCTCTGGCTGAGCACAAAATTTACTTGATTAATAATTGAAACAACCGGTAGCGTGAATAGAACATAAATATATTACAAGTGTTTTAGGAGCGCTACTATAGAACACATCCTAGTTGTATTTATTAAATATTTTCATAAGTTCCATCATTACAGATTAATCATTTCTGATTATAAATGTGAACTACAATAATGATAATGATAATAATAATAGTCTTGTCTTGTAAAAACATTTTATTTAATGCATTTCAGGATCGTAACATCGATTACGAAACATTCTTTCAAGGTTACTCAAGTGATTTAATCAATCGAATTCAGACGGTTATTCATTCATCTATTATAGATGATAATTGTCCTGCAGATCAGCTTGGATCTCCTAAATGTAAACAATCCCGCAAAAACCAAGATCCCCATGTTCTTGCTCAGCAAGCTTGTCTGGTCGCTAGTTGGATAACAGTACCTTCATGTAGAATGAAAGTTGTATTCGATTTGGCTTCAGTTGCGCCCCTACCATGGTCTGGTGATTTAATTACACTGGCCGAGAGTATTCTTAAGCAGGCCCGCATTCCAGGTTCCTGTTCACAGTATGTTGATGGATTAACTCATAAAATGAACAAGTTAGAGCGTCTTTGCAACATTGCCCGTCTTCATGAAATATTTACTAGGTAATTGTTTATGTTCGAAATATTTTATATGCAATTTACTAGTCATATATGCTGAATATCATATTTTGGTGGTTTTTTGTAAAAATAACTAGTCACAACAAAATTACTTTCCTTTTACTTCCATCCATGTTTTTTTCTCAGGTATGAACTAAAAGAGTTTAGTCTAAGTGATGTTGGTTACGCCAATTCTTTATGGCTAGCTGATCAAGTCATTTCTCGTATTTTACGATCAAGCGAAGGTCCTTTTGGGACAAATACACCATTTGCTACACCACAGCTAACTCGAAGTGATCCTGTGTATCATGATGCTACAATTGTAGCTCAAAAATTACTTGATCAATCTCAATGGCCTTTGTTATTTGCACAGTTATATATGGAATTAGCACTTTTCAAAGTTATTCAATTCAAAGAATTAGAAACTACTAATTATCCAGATGATTATGAAAATCGTATTTCGTTTTTTATTATTCATTTGAATTTTGCTACAAATGAAGCATTAAATGAATTTTTCAGTGGATCTGGTGAACTCGAAAAAAAATACACGTCACAGTTTATTTTTATCAAAAATTGGTTAATTCGTTTAGCGTTTCGTTCAATGAAACAACTATTAAAACATGGAGATGTTCTACTTCCATTCCAGGTAATTTAATAACTTGCATGATGTTTGATTTCTTAACAAGATATCTGAATGAGAAAAAGTTTCTTTAATCTCTGAATATGGAGCTAGGTTAATGATAATCTGGCTTTTTGCGTCTTCTTAGCATCAAAACTATTTCTTGACAAAGTAAATGCTTAAAACCCACATTATAAATTGATATTTGCTATGACAATATAAACTTTTCTGAAAGAGAATTACTTTAAGCAAACAAGTACCAAAATTATTTTAAAAACTTTGATTAATAATGCTAAAATATTTTTTATGGAGAAACTCTTGAATGCCTAAAATAACGGAACAAACGAAATCAGTTAGTATCAATAACTTGTACTGGTTTTTGTGATTTTCTCTTTGCGCCCCTGTAACGTCAGCCTTAAGTTCGCATGGTTGCCGTAATCAATAGTTAGAAACTCCGGGTGACATAGCTCTAAATTATCTGAAATGGTCCAAGTGCATTCATTCCTTATCCTTCTATAAAACTCCAGTCCCGAAATTTCCTCATACCTTTCATTTTCTTCTTGTATATCTCATATTTTCTACTACTCTTAGTACTGTTGCTACTAACATTACTTGTCTTGAAATGATTTTAACTTGTTGTACAAATAGAATCGATACATATGTCAGGTTTTGTGTTACATTTGACTGACTGACTGTTCAGAACATGATTCAACAATATCAACTGCTAATACGTAAAAGTACAGACTTTCGTTACATTTCAAATCTTCTAACATCCATGAGCATATTCAATATTATTTCTTAACAATTGTTTCTTTATGTCTATTGTAGCACTCCTTGATTGTTGATTTGGGATTGTCGTTGGCTAGCATGAAAATTACTTTCAACTCTATTGAAAATGTAAAGAATTGTTCACAAATGAGTTGGCGTCATCTAATGCAGTTTACCAAATTATACATTACTCCATTTTCAAATGGAAATAATTTGAATCAGCCAGAAATATCGATTTTTTCAGAACTTTTTTCTAATAATAAATGCGTATTTGGTTTATTAACTGATCGGTTATATATAATAAGGCGTCTAACAAAATTCTATATCGAACAGATTTATTCTTCTAATGAATCAGTGGAAGTCGATAAATTATTTAATGTTCCTGTAAAATTACGTTCTAGTTATCATTTTTTATTACCAGATCTTCCTTATGGAATACGTGAAGAACTTATAACTTGGCAATGGTTTTCATCATTATGTTCTACTATTTGTTCTTCATCAATAGAAACAACTGAATCATGTTCAGAATCAAATTTAACAAATAATCATAGTTTATTTCTTTCAAAAGCAATGCAAATTCAGTTATTGTTAGTTAAAATGTCAGAAGTATTGATTAGTAGTAAGTTTGTTTTATTTACTTATTTACTTACGCCTGTTACCCACCAATGGAGCACAGGTCGCCAACCAGTATTCTCCAACCTACTCTGTCCTGGGCTTCCCTTTCCAGTTCTGTCCAATTTTTGTTTATTCTTCTCATGTCTTTCTCTGTTTCTCGGCGTAATGTGTTCCTTGGCCTTCCTCTTCTCCTGTTACCCTGAGGGTCCCAATTGAGGACTTGTCTTGTGATGCAGTTGGGTGCTTTTCGCAATGTGTGTCCTATCTACTTCCACCGCTTCTTCCTGATTTCCTCCACTGGAATCTGCTTTTTTTCACCCACAGGTTGTTGCTGATCGTGTCTGGCCGAAGTATTTTGTGTAAACACCTGTTAATGAATGCTTGTATCTTCTGAATGATGGCTTTGATAGTTTTCCAAGTTTCCGCTCCATACAGTAGAACTGTGTTGGCATTTGTATTGAAAATCCTGATTTTCCTGTTGATTGGTTTTTGTTTGGAGTTCCAGATATTTTTCAATTGTAGAAATGCTTTGCCGATCAGCGCCCTCACATCTGCTTCGGATCGACCTTGGTTGTCGATGATGCTGTCTAGATATGTGAAGGTGTTAACGTCCTCCAAGGCGTGCCCATGATCCTTCTGAACCTTTTATTGATACAGATATGGTCGACTTGGTTCTGAGTAGTGTGATCCGGTGAAATCCATGTGGTTCTGTGCATGCGCTTGTGCGGGAATATTGTGCCACCAATGACCAGTTTGTTGAAGGCACATAGGTTTGCAAATCTCTCACCGTTTTCGTTCCTTTCTCCCAGTCCATGTCGTCCCATGATGTCTTGATATCCAGTGTTGTGCATGCCAACCTTGGCATTTAGGTCTCCCATAAGAATCATCAAATCTTTTGGTGAGCATCTGTCGACGATTGACTGCAGCCTTTCGTAGAATAGATCTTTAACGTCGTCATTGTAGTCGTTGGTAGGTGCATAGCATTGGATGACGTTCATTGTAATGTCCTCTTTCCTTGTTTTGAAGGATGCTTTAATGATCCTGGGTCAATAAGATTCCCATCCTATCAGTGCCTTTTGTGATTGTTTGGACAGAATCAGTGCAACTTCTTGTGAATGTGAAGCATTTCCCTCTTCATGACCAGTGTACAACAGCAGTTCCCCTGAAGCTAGTCTCAGTTGTCCTACCTGTGTTTAATGTGCTTCACTGATGCCGAGCACCTCGAGGTTGTATCATTTCATTTCTGCCGCAACTTGAATTAGTCTTCCAGTCTCCCACAATGTACGAACGTTCCATTTACCTAAAAGAATGGTTGCTCTGGTTGTGAGAAGAGACATGGGCCTCGTGACGTCCGAGGGAACTCGGCTTTAATCATGAGACGTCATAATTGTTCTTCCAACTCCCAGGGCAGAGTTAAAATGGATTGATTTATTTTTTATGGCTAGCGCTTTTCGGCAAGTTAATTTTTTGGTGGGATGGAGTCGCCAACCCCATGTCCAACCCTCCCCCTTTATTCGGGCTTGGGACCGGCAGTAGCCTCGAAGTGTCTACAGACGCAGTTAAGTTCGTATTATTTGAACAAGTTTATTTCCTACTTATCTGCGGATAATTATTATAAAAACTGTAATATACTACATTTGTTTTATATTATTTTTTCTTATTTTTTTCAGTTCACCAAACTCGTTTACATAGTTCTCTGGGCAAAATTAAAAGTGAAGTAATCGAAAACCCTTCAATTTACAGTTATTTAGTTCCAACTTGCTGTTATTGTTCTTGTATTTGGAATCGACCACTTGCACGTTTAGGTTGTATCATTGAACTCTTTATATTACATGTATTTCCATTTCTGTTGAAAATTGTGAAATCAATGCAACTTCTTGATGAAACAAGCGCATATAATAAATCAATTGTTAACATCATTTCAATAATTTTATCTACTTTTTCATCGTTATTATTATGGTCTAGTGGACAAGATCATTTAAATCCGGTTATTGAACAAAAGTGTATTTGTCGTATGTTTGGTATGTCGTCTTCATAGATGATTATGAATTTATTTTGTTATTTATTGAATGTGTGTTGTTGTTGTTGTTCTATAGAATGTTATACCTTCATTGATTATTTCCCTTATTTCTAATCATATGATTGGCCTTTTTAAATTTATTGATCTGTTTACTCATCAGTTAAGTACATTAAGAACTTTTGAATAAAAAATTAATCTTTTCATAGAAAACAAATTAGGCATAGAGGTGTTTAGTTAATTAACACTTTAATGTCAAATGAAATGTACTTTTCAGGGAACCCAAACAAATCATTTATAAATAATGACTGTAAACATATAAGATTTGATTGCTTTAGTTAAGATAATATTCACTTATTTAGTTTGTTTATATTCATTGGTAAATTATGATGACTATCAGTGGTGAATTTGTCGTAATTGTTGAGTTAATATATATTATTAATATAGTGTTACTACATCATTTTCTGTTATCGAATAAAATCTCTTTGTTTGACATTAATCTATCATTGTAAAAGTTTATTCTCTACTAAATTTTGACGGCATAGTAATATTGGTTTTTACGCTATACGTTTGAAACTTGCTAAGCTTTTTTTTTATAATCTTAAAATGAAATAAGGTCAGTTAAATCGATTTTGATTACGTGGCGTAATCGCTGTTATGTTCTATTCATCCCTGATGATGATTTCGTTCTTTGCATCACGTATTCAGTTTTGTCATTAAACTTAGTGAGTTGATATCATGATATTTTTTGCATTGTAAATGATTATAAGCAAAAGTCCCTACGAAAACCTTTGTATGTCTCATACTTTATCAAAATGTGACGACTATACAAAGGTTCAACTCCATATTCGAAAATTAAAACGGGGATCGTTCTCTGTTTTATTTAGAAACGTTGGCAAATACCTCAAGGTTTCGAATATTTCCGTCAGTAAGTGCTTCAAGACAGAAACTTCGTATCCATTGCTTCGAACTATTCAACAAATGGTTTTTATATAGTGTGTTAAGTATTGACCTTTATATAAACTCATCGGTAAACAGTGTATGCTATACACTTCCTTCATTCTTATTGTAATGAAAAGTTGTTGCTTATCAATAGTGTATAAAAACTAATTAATTCATAACAGTGGTTTATTCGTTATTGGCTTCTTTAGGTTTTCGAGCAAATTTATCTTATTAGTCTCATTCTATCACATAAGTACTTAAATATACTCTAACAATAACTATGAATAATAAAAAATAAACAACTTTCTCGAGAATAGTAAATGTTTCGGGGTAAGTAGTCTAATATTCAAAATGCTCTACATTTGAAGCATTAACATGTATCACCTTCGCTACATTCCATGGATTTCTAGTCCTCATCCGAAAAGTATGTTTCAAACCCTTTTCTAAGTGAACTAACTTCCCTGCATTAACAGGTTATATATAAATCCTGATATTTTTTTCATTTTCTATGCAAAAAATGATTCTGTGAATTATTTTTCATTCATGAAAATTTTTTTGTTATATTAGCTTTAGCAAATGAATTTCAAGCTCTTCGGCTAGTTGTTCAAGCATTTACTAATGTTTTCAACCAAATAGATTGCGCATATCAAGTAAGATATATGTGTACCCTCTGTACATGATTTCTTTGTGTAATAACAAATTAATTAATTGATAATTTGTAGTACGGCGACAACTGATCGTTTTCATTTCAAACAATGTATTTTTCAGAAAAGATTAAGTTCTTTTTACTGACATCTCTATGATTGATAATGTGTATATATATTTGTATAGTTTGTGATGTTAATTTCAATGTGAATATATAGCTTTCATAGTGAAAATAAGGCATCACTGTACATCTGTCTAATCCTAGCTTCGGATTATTCAGAAGTGTATATTCATTCAACTACCCTGATTTAGGATTGAATTTAGGATCACCTTCAGATTTGTTGAGAAGTACAATACTTTCAAACGACTGTTATTCGATCATCTACATTCTAATTCAGTCTATTGATCGACTTACCAGTCTACCATCTAATTTCATCGATCTTAACACCATTAGTCATGAAATTTTCAGCAGAATGATATAAAGTATCAGTTTTTATGTTCTCCAGTTTGTTTTAATGTACACTTTTAGGTTCATGAAAACCCGATCGTATGTGCAGATGGGCTAGTATCTAACAAAATCTTGTCAAGGATACACAATGCTTGACTGGCCTTTTCAAACTTCTGTCATTTGTGGCGTAGACGAGATATCTGCTGGCTAAGCAAAGGACGAATGTACTGCATAGCAGTTCTCTCCGTCCTACTTTGGTTGCGAACCATAGCCAGTCAGAGTAGAAGATATTCGTAGGTTATTGGTTTTCGATCATTGGTGTCTCCGAAGTATTGATCATATATCTTGAGACAACCAAGTAAACAATGCTATAGTTGGGAAACGGGTATCATGTACGGATAGCAGATCAATTGATAAAATAGTGAAACTTCATCAGTTAAATTGGTTGGGACATGTGTGACGAATGCCCAACCACCGACTGCCTCGTTGAGCTATGCTTTGAGATGTAGGAATAGTTTGGAAGAAAGCTAGGGATGGCCAGACCAAAACATGGCGCAAATCCATGAAGTCACTAACAAGTGTACTGAGTCATGTTGGTAAGTGTAGACTACCTGGTTGGGGTCCGCGAGACGAAAGTCACCAATGGTTAGAGACATTGAACGACATGGCTAAAAATCGTTTACAATGGCACAGGTGCATCCATTCTTTGTGTTCTCTCAAATCCTAATCTTTTAAATAAGTCGTCACCTTTATCTTTCTCCTTTGAATTTATTTCACTAGATTATATTTCTCGAATCATATCTTCGATCGCATTTTCAATAATTCTGCTGCACCCTTAACTTCTATGGGATTCTAACTGACTGTTCCGTGTATCTGTGTTGATGTAGTAAGGCAGCGAGAACTGATATACGTACATACGCAGTTTAATATTGCGACTGTCAGAGTGATACTACTAAAAAGTTAACTAATTTTGTCTAAGATACCTTTTCGATCTTTTCTAAACCTATCGTTTGTACTGATTGGTTTAACCCTTGAGTTCATTGCACACAAAAGTTCAGCTTTTATTATTTTTTCTATGTATTTCGCTACTTAATTGTTCGATCTGAGTTGTCAGTTATGGTTATTTATGCAAATTAGATTTAGAATAACATTCATTAATCGTATATGCAGTCCATTATTCATAATTAATGAAATCATTCTGTTCAAAGTTTTACTAAGCGGATTAAATTAAGTTTCTTATAGAGTAACTAATGACGACTTAAAATGCAATTAATTTCTAGGCAGCATAGAACCTGAAATATACATATTCGTCATCGATTCAAGCTGCCACACCTAAGTATTATAGTTAATAAAAGGTTGCTAAAAAAGTTCACTGATGCATTATATTATTCTATGAATTTCGGCCGTAAAGGTGATGTGTTACTTTTTTATTTATTTATGAATAATAGATAATATTTTAAAAGATCCATTTTTTTCTACTAATAAGCTGTTTTCATAAAATTATTTCAACACTATGTAGTTATTTATTCTTTATTTTTAATGAAACCGTAGGCAATAACATTCCTTTTCTCGTTACGCTTACTTTTACATAAAACTATTCTGTTTCTTCGTTTAAAATAAAAAATTGTTTTGAATATCTTCTCATGTGTTCAAGTTTATTGTTAAACAAAACAATGTATTACTTTTTGCATTATATGGTTGTGGAGATTGTTGAGTTACTTACTGAAATTATGATTCGATCAATGTTAGACCATCATTAGTAACCTGGAAGCACTGGACGGTTGTTTTGTCCTCGTGTGGTACTCATCGGCAGTTCGCATCCACGACTCCTGCGCCTCGTAGGATTCGAACCCAGGACCCTCGGTCTTGCACGTAAACGCCTAACCTCTGGCCCCCTGAGCTGGTATCTTTTGATGTTGCATTTATAAAGTTGCAACATTTTAACTGATATAAAATTGTAAATTCTATTCAACAGAGCGTATCCCGTCTTTTAGAAAGAGTAACTTGGACGTCTTTTGTAGCATGTATGTTAATTTTTATGACTAGTCAGTATTACTTGACTTTTGCGGTGTAAATTGTGTATATTATTCGAAGTAATATTTATAGCACTAATATTATTTTAGAATAAGGTCTCTTTCATATAAAATGATTTGAAGAGACAGAATGTGCTCTTCTTTAAGCTAGATAGATAAATTATAGAGCTTCTCTGTCTTTTAAATAACATCAGCTGCTAGTTCATGTAGAATTGGACTTTAAAAGTGTTAGACCAGTTCGTTCCAATGAGCTTATTTGTAATTGGCTGTCTCCTTACATTTTATTGTCCTCACTTTTCTTTGTATTCACGTTCACTGCCTTTATCGATTAACCTTTGACCTTGTGAATGATTTACCACTTTAATATAGGTTCATAGGCTGGATTCATGTCTTTGTGCTTGTTAATTTACAATTGATCCTAATGTCATGCCGTTAGACTTTGTCCAAGTAACAATGTAAACTACGTAGCTTAAACAAACCAATTATATTTATCTATACAAACATTTGCTAATGTTTTTCACTTTTCGATTATTTTTACATTTTTGTTCTAAAAACTATAATTGTTTCATTGTTGTTTTCTTTAAAAAAAATGAATAAATAGCAATCGAAATCGTGCGATAAAGATCTTTTGGAATGTGTATTTTATACTTCTTTGTATCATGAACAAACTACCACTGATATCGTTCATTTGAAATTGCAGTCAAATCATTTTACTGATTCTTTGCAATACCTTACAAACTTATTGAAATGGTTTACATGTCATTATTCATATGATGACAATAACAAAGTTGGTAAGCTCAATATTTCTCAATGTATGAATGTATATATATATATATATATATATATATATATATATATATATATATACTGTTGCCGATCGCCGCTTCCTTTTCCATCGCTTTTGCTTTCGCCACCCACCACTGTTCACGGTCGTTGCGCAGGCTTTTTATCAGCCTGCGCTTAAGCTGACTTCGTTCTTCATCATGTTCAGAGCCAAGTGGGATGAGTTTTCGAGCATCCATCAGTTCGGTGGATGCTACAGAGATCCATGGCTTCATTCTAGCCTTATGGTTAACCTTACTAGCAGATATCACTGCTGTTTCCACAGCCTTCTTGATATCATTCCAACCTGCCTCCGGATGTGAATCACTTAAATGGTCGCCTAACTGTCTCTCTAGTTGTTCCTGAAATATATTTTTCGCCTTATTATCATTAAGTAAAATCCTTAGAGGCTTTCTTACGTTGTCTTGCTTACGCCCAGTAAGCCTCAAACAAATAGGCGCTCGCACTAGGGCATGATCTGAATCTAATCATGTGCCCCACAACGAGCGACAGTCCTCTATCGAACCTCTCCATCGGTGGCTGATGGCAATGTGATCTAGTTGGATCGAATATCAATAATCAGACAATGAAATTCTTGTGAATATATTTTTAACTTCGAAAGTAAAATGAATCTTACTTGAATCAAATTGGTATCCTTATATTGTGTTGTAAATTATAGGATACTGTATATAACAGCATTCTTTCCGACGTCAACATGATCTCATTTTATGTGATACTCAGGTCACTTAGAGGAATATGTTTAGAAATAAAACGACACATATATAGAACAGGAATTTTAATAAACTTTCTATTTTGAATGACTCATGGTAAAAAGTGTCGAATGGGAATTGTTTCTTGTTAAAAAAGCTGCAGCATACTCAAATGGACAACACAATAGATAGAGTAACTTTTCATTCAAATTTAGTTTATCTCGATTCTATTACTACCATCACTAAGTAAATGTATAAGCAGTTAGTAAATGTATTTGGTAACTACTGCATTGATGATGAGAACAACCAGAAGTTTTATAGGTATTTATGAAACTATTTGTATTGGCTTTACCTACCAACAACCGGTAGTTATTAAAATCATGAGTCAATCAATGTTAAACCAGCATTAGAAACTTGTGTGAACTGAACCGCGTTTCTTCCTAGTTTTGCACCCATCATTACTACTCATCCCGCATGCGGGAATCGAACTCAGGACAATCTCCACAACCCGAAAATGAAAATTGACACGTGCTCACTGCGCTGACTAGCCTCGTGGCCTAGCGTCGTGACTAGTGGAGGTCAACCGTTCCAGGTGTAAAGCAGTTACCCACCCGAGACATTGTTTGAGGTCGCGCTGTACTTTTGATTGATTGAAGTTAGACATTAGTACCACCGGATGTTCGCTCAGTGATCTAGAGGTTAAGCATCCTTTTGCGAGAACAGCGGTCCTGAGGTCAATTCCCGCGCGCGTGAATCGTGCATGAGTTCCATACTAGCACTGACTGGCCGTTTAGTGCATGCAGTTTACGTTGATTGATTTCAATAAAAGTCAACAATATCCACAGCCCTACAATGAAAATCCGATTTTGTGAACCCGAATCTGAGTTTTCGTGCATGGTTTAAAAATTCCAATACTGTAACCTATTTATTTAGACTGATTCTGAACGGAATTTGTGCAGGAGAATTTATTTCTTAACCGGCAATTTTTCTATTTAAATGAATATAGTATTTACTGTTGTATTGTATAAAAAAAATTCGAATTCATCATAATTTACTTTGAATAACTTATAAATATTATAAATAATATGGGTAATCAAAAGTAGTAGGATGATAGTGTTTGTATTTAAGCCAAAACATATTGCAATTAAGTAACCATCTGCTAAATATTCAAACTTATTGTGAACGAGTAAAAAGTTGGTCAAAGTATTTCCTATCTCACCTGTTTATACTTGAACGGAATTCTTTCGTAAGAGTTTCTATATTTTATCTTCTCGTACATGATCTGCTATACGACTATTAAGGGTCGTGCCAAACCATCGTGCATTGTAAGTCCGGTTTTATTATTTAGATCTGAGTGAATAAGTATGTCATTCTGATTGTTATTTTTACTTTCTGGAAATTTTCATTTTTCACTCGAAGCTAAGTAAAAAATAGGAAAGCTAACTATTTATCATCTTGACAACATTAGGATTAATTTATGTACGGCAATCAGTAACAGTCTTTGTACCATGAGAATTCTGCCATGTTTAAAAAATATGTAGTGATATCTCGTGAATTAACTTGCAGTCACTTTTTATGTAGAGCTAATCCTTTTCGTGAAATGGTAATCAGGTAATCAGAATTTCTCTTCTCACTTTTTAGATGATAATACGAGGAACGAAGAAAAGATTGCAAAGACTAATTACTCGGATATTCTTCATCAGATTTTAGAAGAAGGTATGAAACTTGCTTCAACTTGGTCTTCAGAATTTGGTTTACACTTAACTGGATCACATACTCTTCTAATCGGTATCGTAAATTTAATTAGATCATGTATAACTCGAAGCATTTGGTCCGATTCATTTATTTTCGTATGTGTTGATGCTTGCAATTTTATTATTCTATTAGTATAATTTTATATATAGATATATATTGGTTTTATATTAAAAATGTGAAATTCATCGAGATAATCTCTTTTCAACAAATTTATAGCATCTCACATATCATTTCTTTGTCACTTCGTATGCCTGTAGTTTTGTGATCGGTATGATACTATAATAAACGTCATCAACGCTTTGTATTCGTCTTCTGAATTGTATGCACTATTGAACGTTATCTCGTAGCGGTTATCAAAACGTTCAGTATACGAAGTGTAGGAATTTTATCCACTGCTACAAATTTATCAAAATTGTAGAGTCCTACGTATACGAAACGTTAAGCATTATTTATACTGTATCGTCTGATTTATTCATATCTCCTCCCAAAATCGTCTATGTCTATAATTTTACAACTTGATGAAAAACTTGTTGGAAAGAGATTCCCTCACTTAATTTCATGTTTTACAAAATACGAACTAACAATCAGTAATTCCATATGTCACATGACTTCTAAGAAACTATTATATGAACTTATCAAAAAAAAATATATTTATTTTCAATAATGTTTAAGTTCACCCATATTTTTTTAGGTCAATTATGTTTTGCTTTAGTTTCACGAGATTAAATTGAAATTATCAACGGACTTCCAACTTATATAATTACAATAATTTTATCATTAGTGGTAATGTATATTTGTAAGTCAGCTGTTATCTTGTCCTCAAACTGTGGATCGAAAATGATCAATGATCAAAGGAGATTGGGATTGTGACTAAACTGTCTTGTTTAATTTGTCTAATAAGCCAATGTATCGAATCTGTCTTAGGGTTATCTTTACTATAACTTACTTCAATAATTCATGTTCAGAATTAGGTAGAAAAGTTGGTTTACAATAATTATTTAAAGTGACACGATTATATGTTTCTACCAGGATAATAGTTCAAAAATGAAAAAACAGATGTAAAATAATGTAGTTTTCTAGTGTTAGTAGACAAGTAAACAACTCTCAACAAAATTTCTTTTTAAAAACCAAGTGACTATTTGTTTTTGGATTAGATTTTCTATTTATTCAGATATGCAATTTTTCCGACCTGAATCCATTCTAGTATCATGTTATGTTGGTAAGAAAATAGGATTCATTTCACGTGTCATTCAAAAATCAATAGTAACTTATCTTTTGTGTATCACATATATGTGACTTTTGATAGTTTAAAAACAGTGTTTCATGTTAAAAGTATTTTTTAAGAATGTAAATAAGAAACGATTGTTTTTATGATAACTTTGGTGTCAATCGAATCAGAGTACTTAAATTATGAGATTGATTGCTATATATCTACAGATAGAGAAAACAGGATCTCAGGTATGTGAAACATTTATTTTAGTTTGTTAATTTGAGGTGCTGATTCCATTTTTAATCCACTTGTTTCTTTCTACCATTCATTAGTTATAAATTATTATTTGTTGTATCTCTCACAGGACTTGGGACTACAAGAACTCAATAATGATACAATTAACAACTGTTTCAATCTATGTAACAAGTGTTTATCTTCCAGTTTGAGTTCAATACTAAATCCATCAGATGGGAAGTATTTGGATCAACCTTTAGCCTTATCATTAGCTCTTGCTCTACCTATTGATGAAGCTACAAGTGTGGTTCGTAATTTTGTGGCACAAAACAAACATGCACCGAAAAAGATTATGGCAAGAATTTTTCAGTTTAATTTCGTTTGTTTTTTCCATCGAAATACGTTTTACATACATTTTAATCACTTTGTTTAATGTCCACAGTGATTTCGTACGGTAAAATATTGCTTTCTTATTCTAAGAAGTCAATCAAACCGTAATATTTAAAATTGTTTTAATTCTCAATAATCAAACTAAACTGTTTCAGTTTGTCAATCGTTAACAGTTTCACTGGGGATACACGTTTGTCGACAAATACTGATCAGTTGCGGCCGTTAACATTAATAAACAAAAAAAATACAAAGCTTTACAACCAATATTTACTATTATTGAAACTAAAATTTTAGATATTATATTAGTTAGACTGATTGCTGTGTTTTGTGACAAGAAGACTCTTGTTCTGATTGAGACCAGTGAGACGGGTAGTTCTCCGTGTAGTTCTGAGATTGCAGCTAATATCTCAGCCAGTGTAACTGCTAAAACTGGGCCATGATCCGTGAAAATCTGATAGGACCTTCTGTCCTCCTTCACTTTGTGTTGTCTATAGTGTTTTCAACCCCATTAAGAGTCTGAGTACTTACATTCATATGCCATTGAGATTTTTTGTGCATGGTGGGTAGTTGAGATGTTGTTGAAGGATAGTTGAACTGTTCTCTAAAATGTCCCGCCCATCGGTACAATCTACGGGATTGAGAGTGACTAATAGTGTCGCCTTTTATCGAGATAGTCTCGCTGACAGAGTGATTTCTAATACCAGATCTCTTTGTATAACCGTTGTGATTATCACTCTCATCTTATACCACTCGGATATTCTGTAGTACCTTCATCTGTCAATTATTTTTATTATTTTAACGTAACTGATACCCTTGTTGATTTCATGAAAGAGTAGCTTGTTAAATATTGTGTTCAATAATTGTACTCTCTTTTATTTTTTTTATTCTATCATTAGGCTGTAGCAAATATTATCTTTATGTTCTCCCAAATCACATGTAAGCGTGATTTAAGCCTATTGGAATTGAGTCAAACAATGGGTAAAATGTGGAGTTGGCATATTGTTCTGAAACCATATAAAGTGTGTGCATAGATTCTGTTTAACTGTTTATCTATAATTTTATGTGTAGCTATGTTTTTATGATTTAGCATTATTTTCAGTTGTATGAATGTTATTTAATTATCATTCATAATTCTTATGGAACTTGTTCGTACTTGCATTAGTTTGTATTCATAATAATTGATAAATGCTTGCTTAATAACAGTAACATGTAATTATCTTGAAAACTTATTTACGTTCATTGTTTGAATCTTGTTGTAGCTATCATTTTTTCGTGAGACTTTTAAGCTTTCTCACATGTTATATTGTTTTTTATTTCTTTAGGCAAGTATTATCTTAAATATTATCGTTGTTGCATTTAAATCAAATCATTTTACAAACTTTAATTGTTCTCTTTTCTTGGTGATCTCAAAAAACGAAAACAACTTTGGCATTTGATACATATATATTGATAGTTTGAATCTTTCCATTGATATATAGGACTGCAATTGATTCACTGCTAATCACTGTTCATTTCTACTTATAACTCTGATATTAGCCAATATTTATTGATAAATTATGTTCATTAGTTTGTTACGACAGTGTATATTTAATATACTTTTAAACAATGTCAGATGTACAGTTAACTCCTTATATCTGCACAGACTGTAACTAAATTCGTTGATGATTAATTTTGTGCGATATCTTGCAATGTATGAAATGTCTATTTCATATTGTTTACAGTCGATCGGGAGGATATACGTTTTTTCCGGTAACTGTGTGGTTTGTTATATTCATTTTTATACATAAGTCTATTGTGAGTCAGCAATGTAGTAGATAACGGTACTTATGTTGTGCTGTTTTACTTTGTACATAACTGACATTTTTTTTACATTATAATTTCAAAATCATTATCTAATTCTTTTTCTTTCATTTTAAACCAAGTTAAACTTTAGTCGTATAATTACAAATGGAATGGATCATTCATCCTTACAACATATACTTGACAAGTTATGCCGTATGGTCCCATCACTCAATGAACAAAATGTTTCCCTTGTACCTAGTGATCTACAAAGTAATGAATCAATGTCCAGAAGATTCGACACCACAACTGGACGATCTTTACCGTCAGTTAGATTGATTGCTAGATTTTCCAATGATTTCAATATACCATTGAAACCCTATCTAATCAAGCATTTAAATTGTTTATTTAAACCATGTAGCAATAGTTCAAGCTCTACTGTCGATGCAGATGGGGATTTCTTATTCACAGGACTTAATAATAATGATAATATGTTTTTATCGACATCTCCGAATGTAATCAATGGTTCTGAAGTGAATTGTTTCATGTATGTTTTTTTCATTTATTTTACTAATTCTAAACTTATTTCATTTGCATTTTCTGAATGTTACTTACACATTACCTTCAAATGCTCACTCCAAGATTTGAATTTCCTAAGTTTGTATCACCATTGGTTAGTATTGTAGACAGATTAGAAGATAATAAGTAAACGAATTCAATTTTGGTTAGAATAATGTACGAGGATGATTAGACTGGATCAGTAGTTTAACATACATACTTAAATAGAGGTTATATAAATTATTTATAAACATTTTTTCTATCTGTAAGTGTATGATCAACTTGTAACCGTTTCATATTATCCACTTGGAACATAAGAGAGTTTACACTTACTTAACTCTAGACTGGTTTGAACAAAGACAAAGCAAAATATGCATATGAAATTACGAGATAGAACGTTTGAAAAAAAATCTCACCCCTTCATATCAAACTGTATTCATCAAAACATGCTACTAATGGACATTCATTTAACAAGATATACACATAGTTTGTGTACTTATCAAAGGTCAATTTGAGATAGTGCAGACGATATGCAGATCAGAGAAAGAAACTCCACAAAAATAAGGTCAGATTTCTGAAAATGATATAACTAAAATTAAGAAATATCACTCGTTTTATTTTAATCAAATGGTTATATCCCCAAACCACGATAAAAAAAATGGTAATATACAGTGTTATAGATAGACCGAATCTATGTCATATATGGTATTTTGTACATTTCGAAGCAGTTCAAAGTCAATACAATTTCACTTTTTAATCCTACCAATCATTATTACTTTATTTTTTAATGGTACATCCTGAACCTTTTTGTCTACACCCAACTTATGACGATTGTTTATTTCTTCTCTCTTTTTAAAAGACGTTATCAGAAAATCTGTTTATCTCGTGCCCATACAATACTTAGATTACTATTCAGATTGGGTAAACAGTCTGATAATCCACAGCATGCATTAAGTGAATTGATTAATTTACTTCAATCATTTTATGCCAGTACATCACCTTATGATTATGAACGTTTAAGCTTTTTGTTCTCATGGATTCGTACTTGTTGCTCAAAGACAATCACAAATAAAGTTAGTTTATATGACTTATTTTCTTTTGGTATTTATTTACGAAAAATTAAAAGTTGTCAATAACATTGATTTTCAATTGTCATACACGTCTTCATTACGAAAGATAAATTGATCATTGTTCATCTCTGCATCAAACTATTTGCTTAACTTCTAACTTTGTATTACGTAGGAAGTGAATGCTCGTCGCAAAGCTCCAATGTTCTCATCATCTCCATTTTTAGTAACCATGTCTTGCAGCCTTAATGTAGAATAGTGCAAACTTTTACAGTACGTATTAGATTTTTAATGATCGAATACAAATGTTAATAATAGACAACTGCCAACAGAAATCTCACTGGTTAACAGTCACATAAGGTTGATACAGCATCAATTGATGAAGTAATTGACACTCTACTTTCTACATTATAAAATTGCAAGTATTCATTAAACTGTTCTAATTATCTAAATCTTCTTTTACTCTTTAAAGCAACTTCAACTACTCAATTTTCTACGTACTTACAAACGATCCCATCCTCCTAGAGATTTTGAATTAGAGTGTGTTTCTGCTACTGCTGAAAATGAAGTAAGTTCTGATTGAGTTTTTGTATTCCGTAGTATTTAACTTTGAATTTAGTTAATGAGAATTTTTTCATCACCTGTGTAAGTTTTTTTAGCCGACTTCAACGCATCGTTTGCGTTAGATGGTTAGATCCTACTGTGAGCGATTTTAGAAGCATCATTTATTCTTTAAAGCTACTGTGTGACAATTAGGTTGATTGGATGGTATAAAGCAAACAGAAGGTTGTATTGAGATGTACCGGTGGCATGATAGATCTCACAGTGACTGTTATCCATTGCTTTCAGTGATATTTGTTTGAAAGTCAACATCGATGACCGTTTCACTGTCAGTCAGTCAGTTACAACGTAGAACTTCGTACGTGCGTACATCAGTTCAAGTTGTCAGACCACATTAGAACAGAGACTTAACTGTTAATTCATATTCCGTATTAGTAGAAGTATTAGCAATAATCAAAAAGATTAATGATCGAATATATCATTTGACATGTATACCTCAGAGGAATCGATTATAAATGAGAAAAAGCGGTCATGAGAAATTCTGAGGACTAGGATCTAAGATAAGCAAGCAGTTTTGAGCCACGTCACTAAAGGTCTCTAACCATCGATTACTATCATTTCGCGGACTCCAATCAGATAGTCTACACGTACCAACATGGCTCAGTCCAGTTGTCAGTGACTTCATGGATTTCTGCCATGTTTTGGTCTGGTCGCCCCTAGCTTTCTTCCAATCTGCTCCTACACCACAAAATATAGCTCGACGAGGCAGTCGGTGGTTAGGAATTCGTAACACATGTCCCAGCCACTTCAACTGATGAAGTTTCACTACTTCATCTATTGATTTGCCATCCCTACCTAGAACTCGTTTCCTAACTACAGCATTGCTTATACGGTTGTCCCAGGATACACGAGCAATGCTTCGGAGACACCGATGATCGAATACTAGTAACCTACGGAAGTCCTCTACTCTTAACGGCCTTGTTTCGCATCCGTATAGTAGGACGGAGCGAACTGCTGAACAGTACACTCGTCCTTTAGTTAGCAAGCGGATATCTCGCCTGCGCCATAGGTGTCGCAGGTTGGCAAAAGCCAATCGAGCCTTCTGTATCCGTGCTGAGATTTCGTCACATACATGGATATCAGCACTGATGAGACTCCCCAGATACGTAAAGCGGTCTACATGTTCGACTACTTCACTCCCTGTCACTAGTTCCTGTGAAGTCGCAAGCCAATCCTAAAGCAACATTCTGCATTTTGAGAGCGAAAACCGCATCCCGAACATGCTTGCATTTTTGCTTTTGGTGATCAGTAGACTGCATTTTGTCAGCGTCTTCAGCGAATAGGATTACGTGTCATATGCATAGTCTAAGTCAATAAGTGAGTCTCCTGGTAGAAGGTCCACTCCTGTAAAGTTATATCTAGCAGCATGTCTGTGACAAAATGAAACAAGAACTGATACCACTTGTAGTAATGAATTCCTATGAGCTTTGTCTTCTCTGGTACAGCGTTTAATGACAGACACTACCACAGAACCTCACGACCAACAGAGTTGAATGACGCTTTATGGTCCAGGAAGACAACTATTGTGAGACGTCCGTGTTCTATGTTCTGACGTAGTGTGAATATTTGGTGTATACATTCACGTCCAGATCTGAAACCAGCTTGATTTTCTCGAATCTGCTCTTCACGAGCTCTAGTTAGGTTTCTAAGTATTATTGAGGCTAATAATTTAGAAACTATCTTAGTTACACTGATTCCCCTGTGATTGTGACAAGAAAACTTTTGTTTCTTATAATTTGGGATAATTAGTGATTAAGATATCACTCCAAGCTGCCATAGAATGGGAATCACTTACATCGTTGCCTAACTGTTTTTCTAATTGTTCCTGAAATATATTCTTGGCTTTGTTATCATTACGTAGAACCCAAGAGGTTTTCTGGCGGTGCCTTTCCTACGTCCAGTAAGCCTCAAACAAATACGCGCTCGCACTAGAGCATGATCTGAATCTAAACTTGTGCACCAGAATGAGCGGCAGTCTTCAATAGAGCCTCTACACGGATGGCTGATATTTGGGTCGGCTTCGAGGGTCACCAGTTCAAAAGGTGTTATTCCTCATGCTTAAAGTTAGTGTTTGCTAGAAATAGGTGGTTATCTAAGCACAGTTGCAGCAGACGGTTGCGATCAACCGCGACACCATAAGATCCACCCAGGTGTCTTTCCCTTACACTTGGTCTACCTACTTGAGCATTAAAGTAACCAGCCGTTATTACTATATTAGAGCGCCTAACCTTTTGGAGGGGGTCCGAAGGTTTCTGTAAAACTGATCTTTTATCTCATCTGAACTACAGTCAGTGGGGGCATAGGCAGATACGAAGAAGAGGCAACGACGAGTGTCCCTATCTTTCAGAGTCCTTACTGTCCCGTTTAGTCGGACAGCGCACAAGCGACTGTCTACTGGGATCCATTCTAGGAGAGCTAGTTCTTCCCTATGACTTAATACTATACCTACACCAGCGAGGCTCCGGGAAGCCGCAGCACGCCTTCCAGATACACGAAGCCTAAACCGAGTTGATTCTCTATCAGCACAAGATGAAATCAAATTGTTGATTTTACTCGGATCTTGTCTGCGCGTTTTGGCGACGCAACACGTCGATGGTACGAGATTCCAGAGTCTGGGTTTGGGACCGGCAGTAGCCCTGGAGGGCGCTCCAGGCAGAGTTGGTTTTGCTGCAGAACTTCAAGAATATGTCTTGAAGCTGTTCATTAATGAACATGGAATTGTTGTTTTGATAGTAAATATTTGAATTCGAATCGACATCATTAGTTTATTTTAACTAATCTCCGGTTATCATCATTTTTTAGATAGCAACTATTTTCAGATCAAAAAATCTCCATAGCCTTCAATTATTATTAAAAACAGTCCAACATTTTAATATGAATTTATTACTATCTTAAAATGCTCGTACGCAGATGATTATCAATTTAATAATAATATATATCTATAAGTATGAACCGTTTGCTAATTTTTCTATTGTTGTTTTTTTTGTTGCTACCTTCAGACGATAATCTTTTCTAAAAGTGAAGGGCATCATTACTTAAGTAATATAAGAATGCCGTATCATCTACTGTTGAATGATTCGTTACCAATTAAAATTGTAGGTAAGCGTACACCTTCCTAAATATGATTTTTCCATCATAAACTTGTCAACTTGCTCGACAGTAAATGTGTGGTAAATATGTGCACACCAGTTCTATAGCGGTTAATATTCAATACATTCTTAGACTTCGTACACTGCTCAAGTTAATACCCGTTACTAGATAACTCTCAACGGTGTATAAATCAGAAGACAAATACGACGAGTTGATTAAATTTATTACGGCACCATACACAGATTACCATAACCACATGCACACAAGGCAAAATGATATGCGAGTGCCGAATAGCAAGCTAGTTAGCGAATGATTGAATGAATGGGATTAAAATGTACATACATATACTAAGGAAAATGAATGAGTCTTCGAATTATTTAAGAAGCTAATTATTAAACCGAATAGAATGAATATGCATGTAGGCGGTAAGTAATGTTCAATTACGCCTATTCATACAAGCGCGACAATAATAAGAGCACAATGGTACAGTTAATTTATTGCAATACGAACGACTCAGTTAAATAAGGTAATCAAAAGTCTTGACTAAATTAAATACGAACAAACTCAAATGTATGTGGAGGTACTACAATAGCTCGCCCCAGCAAACAAAGATGCAAAGTGTCTGTGTTTGCGAAAAAAATATTGAAATCAACAGAACGGAAAATATCGAAATTGGGATGCAAGAGAGATCTATCGTTTAATTTATTACAACTATGTGTAAGCTATACGTCCGTGAGGCCAAATAAGATAATAATGGAAGATCGAAAGAGTAGTAATGCTTTTAGAAGTTTATACACTTTAAAATTGGAATATACTAATTATCCCTTCTAATAGACAAATGGGTACTATCGCTCAGCTGTTTTACTATGTACAACCAGTGTTGATGTTCCCTCGCAAGCGCTATTCGTAAATCCCTCATATGCTGGTTTCAACATTGTACATAGCTTTATCATCTGAATCACCTTTACCTGAGGTGAAGAACTCTCCTGGTATGTGAGGTACTAAAAATTAGCTTGTAAAATATTACTACTCTTGTATGAATATTTTACTACAGTCCTATTTTGCAAAGCACAAAGATTATTTAATTTTCTCCAAACCAAGTCGTAGGAGCAGTCCATGAAACCATTGACCGTCGCATTGCGCCATATTGATAAGTACACACTATCAGGCTGAGGATCACTCGATAATCGTGACCAGGGGTTAGAGATTATAGTTGCCATGACCTGAAATCGGCCGCAGTAGCGCATATGCATACTATACTTATCTATCCTAAATCCAGACTTCTGAAATCGTTTTATACTTTTAATTTTACAAATCAATTATTTCTTCTGGAATTATATTCTTTTTGCCTCGTCTTTTTTTATATGACGAATTCAACTATTGCTAGGATATTCATCTGACTGTGCCAATGTCATGTAAGAACTTGTGCTCATTTATACTTATGTTCTGCTCCATGCTACTACTTATCACCTTACTAATTTTCTTCAGTTTCTCCTCATCCTTATAAATCATTGTTGCGAATATGTGCTGTATTGTTTTTTCAAACTGCAACTGGCTGAAAAACTACAATCGGCATTTGCCCGAAATCTAGTGTATAAAAAACACTCCATAATCTCTTGTTTGAAAATAATACCTGGTTTTCTTGGTTTACTCGAGAACTAAGCATATATAAATGATTTTGTTTAATGAAACGTTATATTCAGTCAGTCAGTCATTTGCTACATAGAACTCCGTACATACATACATACATCAGTTCAAGTTGCCATGACACATTAACACAGAGATGAGTTTGTCAGTTCAAATCCCATAGCAGTAGAGGTTGTAGCACTATTATTGGCAGCGCAAGAAATTAGCGACCGAAGATATGATTGGGAAAGTATAATCCAGTGAAATAAATTTAAAAAGACAAAAAAGATTCATGAGCAATTCAGAAGACTAGAATTTGAGAGAAGACAAATAATGGATGCATCTGCACTATTGCAAACGACTTTGAGCCATGTCATTCAAAGTCTCTAAGTAGCGGTTACGATTGTCTCGCAGTCCTAACCAGATAGTCTTCACCTACTAACACAGCTCATTCCAATTTTCAATTACTTCATTGACTGGTGACATGTTTTGGTCTGGTTGAACCTGGCTTTTTTCCAGCTTACCCCTACATCAGGAAACATCGCTCGTCGAGGCAGTCGGTAGTTGGGTGATATATCAAACATATGTCCCAACCACCTCAGCTGATGAAGATTCACCACTTCATCAATTGATTTGCTATCCTTACCTAGTATCCTTTTCTTAGCCCCAACACTGCTTACTCGGTGGTCCCGGGAGCAGTGCTTTGAAAATACCTGTGATCGAATGCTAGTAACCTATGAATATCCTATGTTCTTCGTAGTCATATTCCAAACCTGTATAGTAAGACGGAGCTAACTTCAGTGCAGCAAACTTGTCCTTTGGTTAGCAGACGTAAGTTGGCAAAAGCCAATCGAGCCCTCTGTATCAGTGCCGAGATTTGATCAAACTCCAGGCCATCAGCACTAATTAGACTCGGATTATAAGTGAGGCGGTCAAAACATAACAACTCCTTATCACTAGTTCAGTTGTTGACACAAGCCAATCCTGAAGCAACAATTTGCATTGGAGCGAGAAAATCGCATTCTGAACGTGCTTTCATTGTTTCTTAAAGTCATCAAAAAACCCTGAAGCTCACCAGCGTCTTCACCAGTCAGAAGTATATCATCATTTACACGGTTCACTAATTGTTTTTCCAGTTTCTTTCGAAATGGCCATTTCATCACTCAGGTTTCCTTGTTTTTCTTTTTGCGTCAAGTGATCCGGGGACGAATACGTGTTTGTTCTAGAGCATGATCTGAGTCTAAACATATGCTCCAGAATGAGTGGCTAATAGCAATGTGGACTAGATGAGTCTAGTATTGAGTGGAGTTATGTAGTCGCCACGTCAAAACATTTCTTGCCTACTTCCCAGAGTTGGCGTTTGTCAGAAGTAGACGATCATCTCAGCATAACTGCAGCAGACGGTCTCCATTGTCGATTCGATGAGCCGCGACACATTAAGATCCTCCCAGCTGTCTTTTAGTTTTTCCTAACCTATCTACTTGAGCATTAAAATCATTAGCCACGATTGCTACATCAAAGCGCTTAGCTTTTTGAAGGTTGGAAAGCTTTCCGTAAAATTCATCTTTTACCTCATCTGACCTGCAGTCAGTAGCAGCGTAGGCGGAGACAGCGAAGCGGCAGTGAGAAGTGTCCCTATCTTTCCGAGTTCTAACTCTCCTGTCTAGAAGAATCCAACCGAGGAGTGCTAGTTATAACACAATGGTATACTAACACGAGCGAGGCCACGTGTAGTAGAAGTGGGGTTTCCAGGTATACGAAGAGTAAATCACTACGGTTCTTTGTGCTAGCCATGTGAGATCGAGTGAATCACTGTACTCGGATCCTGTATGCGCGTTTCGGAAACTCAGCATGGAGAATGTGAAGATACAGCTAAAAGTGTGTTAAGGATTAGTTTGCGCTAACTTTTCCCTAAGGTTTGATTACTAATTAATACATGTTACTACTTAGTTAACCTGAACTCAGTAGTACTTCATAAGATCTGTACTTTTGTTAAGCTCATTGTAAAATTTTTCGTTTCATTTTTAACTTATCTTAGTCTTTCTCTTTCTTTGATGAAGTATTCTCAAGATCTATAAAATTTGTAGCATCACTCAATGAGATTATTTTTACAACATTATAACTAGATAAATTGTATATATTCGCATGAATATTTAAGTGACTGATTGTTACTTCATCATCTTATGGTATTTACAAAATTAACATACTTATTCTTGGAAATAATTGTAAACATTTTTAACGTTATATATCATTTATATCGTAAATATTTAAGTTATGAAATGCTTTTTTTGTGTTGTCTATCTTCTGAACTCGATCAGAGAATAATACTGTTTCATACAATAATATTTTTTTATGTTAATAAAACTAAACCTAGGAAAGCAAACAATCATTGTAAATAAGATTGTCTTAGCAACATTCACATTCAAGTGGTGAATACTTTTCTACTTACATAATTTTTGCTTATTCCTTTTACTATTGTTTATTATTAGGACCAGAGATTACTGTATCCAATGTAAACTTTTGGCTTCGTGTGAATCAGAGTATGGAGGTATGTGTATGGTCTTTTCTTAACTATTCATCATTAATCATATGCTCTATTAATTAAATCTTTTAATATAATTTTTTTTTTGTTTGATTTATTATTGTATGACAGCGTCAAATTGTCAACATTTTTGAGTAGTAAACGTTATATATCAAGAGAGTTGCACATGAATGCCGTTGTGCTGTTCAATTTTAAATTTTTTCACGATTAATATAGTGTACTATGTCTTGATTTCGTAAATATTGATAATAATAATAATTTTATTATTAGTACTAAGTAATTTTATTTCCCTCCCACACTTTTCTGTTTGTTTTTTGATATTCGTGCTCACAATAAAATGAAGTACTGCATATTATTTTCGTTTTAAGTTTTTCCAATGGTTAACTAGTTCTCCCTTGTTTAATAGATAGTTAGGTGCTGGATTATTTAAACTTATTATTCAACTGATAATAATTGTCTGAATTCCTTATCTTGAGATAGTAGTTATTAATTTTGATTGTCATTCTGAAAACATCTTATTGTGGGTATTTTGAAAGAACAGTCTTTGACAATCATTAATTTCCACCGTTTTTATATTTCATTGGCGTCGCACTAATACTTGTACTTGAAAGCAAGGAAGCACTTTAATTCCTACGACTCGAGAAGCTTGTACAAGGAAAGATTTATTGAGAACAAAGCAAGTTGGAAAATCACATCATCCTTAGACCAAAGTACACACGAATTCATGCATTTAATAAAGATACATATATGGGGAAATACAAGGTTACTGTAAAAACAAACACATTGCATATAGTTCATCTGAATTGATACAGGGAATATAATTGTCACACTGAACAAAGTGGTGACCCTAAAATATTGTCTTATTCCATTATATCAATTTATTAGTGATTTGTCCAATTGAATTATTGTACGGATTATGTTATTTTGAGCCATTATCTGATATTCATTCATTGTTATATAATATTTGATTGAATAATTGACTGTTTCAATTCTTTTTTTTTCAAATGTTTATTCAGTGGAATTCATCAGACTTGATCAAAATTACTGCTGCACAAAATTTAGCTACTCATTATACTACTATTGGACTTTTGCCTATAGCTAATTCAAATTATGCAACTGAAGACTTGACAGTTCCTCGATCGGTTGGTTGGGACAGAGCATTACCTTGTCAAATTCTCATTGAACCTCTTTTTAGTCAACTTAATCATCTTTTAGGGTCTGTGAAATCAACACTTAATGTGTACTCATTATTAGCTGGTATGTTACCATTATTATGATTATTATTCAGCTTTAATGTTATATCATATTCTTTGCTATGCTAGTAGTGTCAAATATGTGATATTTTTTAATTCTAGAAATGACCTGATAAAGAAAATAATGTGAAGCTTGTACTCCATTTATTTTACGTGTTTGTATCATTTATAAACTATGTTTTCATTTTAGGTCTTGCACGTCGAGTTATTTATGGCCCACATCGATTATTAATATTAAGATTAGCTCGAGATCTAGCCAAAAGTTATCTGCTTAGAGCTGACAATGAAGCACGTCTTTTATACGCTCGAAATAAATTATCCTGTTCAAACCCTAACAATGAGTCATCAGACTCTGATACAGACGAAGGTCCAAAGGAAGCGCAAGAAAATATTCGATTGGCTCGAATTGCTTTGGAAAAAGCTGAGACAAGTCATAAACAATTCGCAATTGAAGGTTGTCTTTATGAGCACCATTTAGCTGATTGGGAGGAAGTAAACAAGCATTTTAATAGGTAACTGACCTGTTTGTAAATGAAGTTCTTTAAATACTTTGGGTTGACCTTCTTCTATTAAATATTTATCTAGTTAGGTTATTTTAGGCGCTGTATGTAAACTGCAACAATGAACATGTCAGTTGAATTTTTTTTCCATCTGAGAAAATCATTAAGCACTTTGCTACTATTTTCATTATTTTTCCTTAGAATGTCTAATTTATGTGATACTGAATTTCAAAAATCTATGAAGATTACCAAATTAATTGAATAATAAGTTATTAAATATATTATTATCAAAAATTGTTGAACCCTCTATTACTGAATGATGAAGTGTCTGTTCGGTTACAGATCATGACTTAAATCAGTACCTGCTGTATAAATTATTCATTTAGACATTTAATGAACTTAATCTTACTAAAATATTAAAAATATGCCTTTGTCAGCTACAATTCACGTAGAGTATTATTATTATTATTATATTAGACTTATTAATCCAGTAAGAAAATGAACGGCTATTTTTAAGATTTTAAGTATCAGCTTTTTATATGACGTGAAAAACTAAACAACTTTGAAGCAGACGGTATTCGAAAAACTAGCTCTTCTTTTTATTAAACATTTTGTGATTCAAATTCTTTTTCTGCTCGTTCTAACAAATAATTCACCGGCATTCATTCTCAGTCAGTCAGTTACAACGTGAAACTTCGTACGTACATCAGTTCAAGTTGCCATACGACATTAGCACAGAGATACAATTTTCAATTCAAATCCCATAGTAGTAGAGGTATTAGCACTAATCGGAGAGATTACAGTTCGAGGGTAGTATTCAAGTATACTCTAGTGACATAAACTTAAAAAGAGAAAGATAAAGGTGGCGTTTAATTTAGAAGATTAGGATTTGAGAAAAACCAAAGAATGGATGCACCTGCGCCATTGCAAGCGATTTTGAGTCATGTAATTCAAGGTCTCTAACCATCGATTACTATCATCTCGCGGGCCCCAACCAGGTAGTCTACACTTACCAACATGACTCAATCCAGTTTTCAGTGACTTGATGGATTTGTGCCATGTTTTGGTTTGGCCGCCCCTAGCTTTTTTCCAACTTGCTCCCACACCAAAAAACAGCTCGACGAGGCAGTCGGTGGTTAAGCATTCGTAACACATGTCCCAACCACTTCAACTGATGAATATTCAGTACTTCATCAATCGATATGCCATCCTTACCTAGTTTCCTAACTATAGCATTGCTTACTTGGTTGTCCCAAGATAAACGAGCTATGCTTCGGAGACACCTATGGTTGAAAACCAGTAGCCTATGAATATCTTTTACTCGTACTGGCCATGTTTCGCATTTATAAAGTAGAATGGAGCGAACTGTTGCGCAGTACACTCGTCTTTGGCACTTATTTTAACTTTTTATCTATTTTATTAATAATAAAGTTACTTTATTTTGAAGCTGTTTTACTTAATACAAGCTTGAAATTTTTTTTCAGTCCATTTGAATTGATATTAAATTTACTACACAAAGCAGCTTCTGAACTGCAATCATCAGTGAATTGGAACTGTAGATCAGGACTTCCCATATCTGAATTATTTCTAAGACGACGAGTAATAAAAGCTTTGCCTCGTATTGCAGAATTAGCTCATATTGACCTTTTGGATATCGCTAAGCATGTAATGATCAGTCGATTAAAACTTCCCCGATGTGTATTTATGAATAATGGGGATCTAAATGAAAGTTCTATCACAAACCGTAGCTTATTATTAGATATGACTACCGAGTGTGGTGAATTTTCTCCAAACGATATTAGCTTTAATGCAACCATGCATCAACCACAATTCAACAGTCTCACATCACTCGAAAACCAGGGATCCGAACAATTAGAACCTAAACAGGAAGATTTCATGTTAGCAGAGCTTCTTCTTCAGCAAACGGAATTAAAACAAGAATTGCTCCCAGTTCTCGAATTTTTCGTTTTCAGTGGCAATCCAGACCAGTTTGTTTCTGCAAGATGGCGTGCAGCTCGTTGTATTTTACGTTGTCAAAGTGGTCTCATACTACGACCGAAACTGTCACTTAGTGAACTGCGCTGTACTTTATTACGCTTGTCCACGTTGGCTTCTTGTCCAAATGCTGCATCTCAGCAGTTATTATTTGACGCATCTTTTTCATGTACTTCTTCACGTGGTGACACATATAACTTACTTTGTTGTACGCGTCTTATAAACAGTATTAAGCAACTCATGGTTTCTTCAAACTCCTTACAGACAATCCGCCTCGCTTCTGGTTTGGTTCTTGATTATGAACTTTTATCTCCTCCTATTATTACACAACTGTTTGAATTTATTAACAGTCATAGTGAAAATGAGTCCCTTGATTATACTTTATTTTTGCTCATCTTCCTACAATCATCTGGTAATGTGAACGAAAGTATGAAATGGTTTTTTTCGAATCCTGTCAAACAAGGCTGTATGCTCCATTATCTTCTTTCTTCTCTTGCTAAGCGAATGTTATTGAAATTATTAAGTCATGAACAACCTATTCCAAGGAAGGTGGGAAACTTTCTTAGCAAATTAGTTTGTATCCTTATTTCATGGCCATTCCCAGACACAGAGATTGAGGCTATTTTCTCTGAGCTCAGTAAATTAGTAAGTCCTATGTTTTCAAAGCAAACAGTTGGATACGATAACTCACTTCAACGAATACCAATTATTATTGATGTCTTTCAACGTTTACTTGCATTGGGCAGTTCAAATAAGCATATGACAAAGGAGTTGAATACATGGTTTAATCTAGTAAGTTTATTTATTTGTTTTATTATCACGCTGACATTAAAGCTAATTTAGTTAATTCCTGTCAAGATATAATGTATCATGTTTATCCTAGTGCTTAGTGAAAATAGTTTAATTGTGAAAAGATAACAACATTTTACTCATTAGTCTTATTATTATCTCACATAAACATAAAAAATTAAATTATTAATAAAATTTGATCGAGTGATACATGACATATGCTAACTGAACTGTCGGCATTTATATTGTTTGTCTTACCAAGATATTACCGCTACTATTCTCTTCATATATTTTCATTTTTAGACAAGCGGAAGCGAAGAGAAACCGAACATGATCAGATTGGTTCATGATGCCATACAAGCCAGCGAAATTTGTCTAACTTCAAAATTTCTTAGCTTTTTGTAGTTATTATAACCTTTCTTTGCAAACAGAGCACTTTACGAATTATTATATAGTCATTCTAATACATGATAATGTTGAAAGGAATGAATATTCTATATTGATCTTAAATTTCTTATTTGTTTTCACATATTTAAACGTCTTTTTTGATTAATGTCTATCCAATTTAGGTCTCTAAATTAAGATAGGTGGGGATCAATAAAATATAGATGCACTCACAATGAACCGTTTGAGTGAACATTAGCCTAGCAGTAAATTACGATTGTGAAGAAATGTTCATTCATACATCTCGAAGTATCCCATGACATCAGCAAACTGTCTAACGAGCATTATTTTAAAAGCACAAACAGAGGTATAGCTCAATAAAAGAATGAGAAAATGTGGAATATTATCACAAATGAACGTGCACCTATGTCACCGCAACCGAATTCTGTTAGTTATGCAGGGCCTTAGACTGCTGATTACGACAACGACAAACTGAAACTGGCAAGTACAACCGTCGATTGAACTTCAATTGATAAATAAGATTCGGTTGGCCACTAGCCTGATAAGTATATCCTAACTGACCACTTAGACTAGTGTAGAGATAGTCTTGAGGGCTCAAATTATTGTTTACATTGTGTCATGTTTGCACTTAAAGATCAGATAACCGTCACTGTTGCCCGAGACTCATAGCGGTAGTTTGAATCCCGTTTATATGCAGCTGCCTAACTGGGTCCAAATTAGACCAATATACTTAATTTGAGATGTGGTAAGATTGCGATGGAGCCTATCATGCTTATCGTGAAATTCTACGGGCATTTACTATATGTAAACTGAATGTTCCTCAGCCTTCAATTCATTGAATCAAATCGTGCATCTGCAAAATTATATGTACTTTGCGACTTAAAGATGTCTGACTAGTAAACTATAACTTCAACAGATGGTCTTGATTCTAAGTAAAGACTTTCTTCGAGTTTTATTACTCATCGATAACAACGCCCGCATTCTAGTATACCCACCCACATGGAGACTCAAACCAAGGACGGTGACAAGGCTTAAATGCTGTTACCCGGTGTTAACAATTACCCGCTGCGGTATGCACCTTCAGAAATCTTTTTATGATATACCGGGAAAAATGATCCTGGACATCCAAATGAAGCGGCCTGGGTCTGCGATTTTATGGGGCACTAACCTCATTGCAAAGTGAATACAGTACTCATGATCACGGCATTCGCGGTCTCAAAAACCAAACTCACCTAACGAGCTTATTAGGTAATCTGAACTGTATAACGAACAGGCGACGGAATCACGCCTTGTTAGGGGAAGTGAACATACATGGCTACAAGCCGAGCCAAATACCTACTTCAAACTTCTCATTTGTTAGTTATTTACTGCGAGAAACTACCAGCCCTGAGCTTTGTCGCCATTCGGTTTATAAGGTGAAAATAATTAGTCGGTACTTACCAATGATCAACAGACTTAATGACACAAATGCAGTAGGTTGAACGATGCAGCCTATACCTAACATACCACACTAAACTGAGTACGTCCCATAGCACAGCCATGTACGTGCAAAGTATATAACAGCGTGGTCTGAAAATCACTGACTAGCTGTCCATGGTAGTCGGTCGATAAACGAGATATACAACGCAAGCCAAAGGAGTTCAGTGCATTAGTGACAGCTTGTTTATGCCGATTAGCAACATCAACCAATGACATACTGCGTGTCGACACCAACCTTGTGCATATCAGTGCCAGTTACAGCCCAGTTGACGGCCCCGTCGGGTGTAGAAACATGCCCAACTGTTCTTCAAATGGACAGTGGAGCGCGAACTGAGACTTAGAGAATTCTCGTTACGGACGATTGTTAACCCCCGAATTTAAGTTTAAAGTACTAAATTAGAGTATGAAAAAGCTGCATTATGCAGAATATTTAGTATGCATGTAAGATAACAGTGACTCAAAGTCTACATTAAATGCGATCATTCATCATAATCCCCTTCTCGAATCTCGTGACAGCCGTTGCTCCTCCCATCCATTTCTTCATCCGATCGTCTTGGTGTTCCTGATTCACTTCGGTGTGACATTGAACGTGATCGTGATGCAGAGCGCGAGCGTGTGTGTGAACGACCAGGAGACCTTGAATCCGCCGAACGTGACCTGCTTCTAGATTGTGAGTGCGAAATTGATCGTGATCTTGAACGGCGATCTATGTCATTTTTGACGCTATTCTCTCTTCCATTGCAGCTTGGGGAACGGGAACCAGCATCCTTAAAAGTGAAAGTCAAATATGAGTCGCACTTACCAGTGAGCGCTTATTACTGTGATGAGATATGGATCTTGCGTTTGAACGGTTAGTTCCGGAACGGCGTGAGGGACTCCTTGACCGTAAATCATTCGAGTTTTCTCTGGAACGTCTGCGCGAGTCTTCACCGGACTCTGACCTTTGTCTATCACTGGAAAGTGACCTATCATGTCGGTGTCGAGGACTTCGCGACTTCTGCCTCCGAGAGTCCCGACTTCGTGACCGGCGACTATCAGATCGCGATCTGTAAGACCCAGATCTGGACCGCTGGCCAGGTCGATCTTCGTAAACACGTAGCCGACGTCCATAGAGTTCGTACCCATCGAATTTTTCGATTGCTTCTTTCATATCAGCATAGGCAGCAAATTCGACAATGCTATAATCGAAGTTATGATAAAATTGCACAACTTACCCATCGTTTTTAGCTGACTTATGTGCATCCGCATAAGTAACCTCCCCAGCCTTACGCATTAGATCCTTGAGATCCTGTACAAAAGAATGAATGACTAAAAATCCTTGCACTAGATAATCAACAAATTCATAGAACTATTATGGGTTAAGCTAGCCTAGTACTTAAGAAAACGCGCGAGTAATTTACCTCGCGTTTTTGATCTGACCACAGTACGAAACCACGTTACCACATGCTCGGCCGGACGACCGTTGAACGGCGCGACCAGAATCAACCCTGGGCGACTGACCATGGCATGGAAAACGACCAATCCTACGCGTCCTACGCCACCCGAAACGACCGAACGTCAACGAGCGGTAACTGAATTCGAGATAACAGGCAATTAGTTACTTCTTTCAGTTCTTACAAACAATCAAACGTCAACTCCTTACCTGCCAGCTAACACGCGACGAGAGATTTTCAACAATAACACGATACTCTGTTCTCGTTGGTGGACCGTACCTACTGTGAAGAATGACAGAGTAAGGGAAGAAGCTTACCGATCACGACCACTGCCGCCACCTCCTCCGCCACCACCACCACCTGCCCTTCTGCTGCCGCCTCGAGTGCCTGGAGGAAGGCGAGCATGCTCAACAATCAAGCGTTCACCGCGTAGATCTCTTCCATGAAGATCATAGACGGCGTCATCTGCATCCTTTTCGTTATCGAACTCAACAAAGCCATATCCATTCTTTAGAACAATGTCTCTTAATCGTCCATAACCTTTGAAAAACCTCTCAATATCTCTTTCCGTACAACGTGGGGGTATGCGACCGACGTACACTCTCGACATTTTGAAACTGAGAGCCAGAAGCAGCCATAAAGAACCGATTTAAACAATCAACCAGATATTATGTATCAGGTGATGCTCAAGGAGTTGATAATTACTGCTTTATTAAGAAAAAATAATATTCATTTTTTTAACTGATGCTTTTCGCATATACGTGACAATGAACTTTTCAACACAAGGATGATCCTGCGGTGTAGTCTTCAAAATGACATGGCGATGTCTCAGATAATTATGAATATTTGGCGTTAGTGCTTGTCAAGCACACAAAGGCTAATTTGTTGATATTCAACCAAAGTCTACAATCTACCGATATAAGTTAGACTATGCTTAAATGAAAGAAGAATAAAAGTGATTTTCGATTTGGCGTCCCGTCTCACACTTAGTTACCAAGTCCAAGCCTGGAGGACCTTGATATATTTTGAATCTAGTAATCCTCGTCATGGAACTAAACTAATCCTTTCCCCCTTCAGAATATTCTTTGGAATATAGATTCACATCTTATGAAGATTCACGAATGAAGTTTGTGAATATTTCTTTTTATGAAGTCGTTTTACATCTAATTTCAACACATGAAGTCTGATGCTTTCATGCGATTGACTGCAGGAAGTCCCGAGTGCAACTGTTCAAGTACTGCTGGTCGTAGGTTCTCTGGGATAATGACCAGTTCGGTAAATAGCAGACAGTCATCGATGATTGAAAGAGAGAGCTTACGCTGTTGAAGCTCTGTGGAAGTGAGCTTCGAGGAGTCACCCTTGTAGGTTTGGGCCTCGAAGAGTTTCTTCTCTGAATTTATCTAACGACAGTGGCATCTGCTACTATACTCCGTATTTCTTGGTCTACTGCTGTGGAGGCAATGATTATGTCTTGTGGTTCAGGATGCTGAACTCCAACTAATCGAGAGAGAGAGCGTCCGCTTGACCGATAGTATTTGTCGACTAATAACTGATACTGAAAACATAACTCTGGAGCATGGTTGCCCAGTAATGTAATCTATTAGCCGTATAGACAGGGATTCCTTTCTTTGAACCGGAGATTTCAATCAAAGGTTTGTGATCTGTCAGTAACGTAAACGTACTACTATAGACCATTTTATGAAAACTTTTGACCACGAAAATGATCGCAAGAGCTTCTTTTTCGGTTTGACTTCAGTTATGCCTGGCTGGGGTGAGTAATCCATCAGCATGTGCGGTTGTCTTTTCTTATTTGTCCGGAAACACATGAGATATCACTTCTCCAACTCCATGACGAGAAGTATCAGATGCGACAACAATTCCCAAGCTGGAATCGAAGTGTGCCAAAAGAAGCTTTTAGATGAGCATTGATTTGACTTTATCGAAAGACTCTTGTCATTCTGCTGACCACTGATAGGATTTATCTCTTAATAGTAATTCATCCAGGGGACCTCTAACTCGATGCATTTCAGGCAGGAGTGAGCTGTAATGACTGATTAACCCCAAGAAGGGTCTTAATGAAGCGATGTCAGTTGATGTAGGCATTTTCTCAATGGCTTTGATATTGGTCGGGTCAGTTCGGAGACCGTTCTTATCCAATATAAAACCAAGATATTTGATCCAATACATGAAGAAGATACGCTTTTCTCCATGTAGTTGTAAACCATACTCCAACACTCGGCTAAGGACTTGATGTAATCTATCAGAAAGTTCACTGCCAGTTGAACCCGTAACTATGATCTCATCTAGATAAGCTGTCGTGCCAGGTATACCTGTTGGCATCGCACCCATTATTTGCTGAACGATGGCAGGTGCGGTCTTCATGCCAAATGGTAGATGGATGTATTGAAACAGCCCTCGATGAGTGTTAACAGTCAGAAGCTCTCTACTATCTTCATCTACATCCACTTGCAGGTAGGCACCGGAGAAGTCCATTTTCGCGAAACATGTCGCACCATTAAGGTTGGCAAGCAGGTCTTCCGGAACTGGTAACGGATACTGATACGCATCCATGGCAGCATTTAAACCGGTTGAGGAATCGGCTCATATGTGTGTAGTTCCATGGGCCTTCTTAATCACTATGATAGGTGCGGTCCATGCAGATTGGTTGACTGGTTGAATTACCCCAGCCTATTACAAGCGACTAAGTTCCTGATCGACTAGCTCAAGAGCAGCACATGTTACAGGACGGCTCCATAGAAAAATAGGTTTGGCATCAGATTTCACTGGTAAGTGAACTTTCATCTTGGCACAGTGGCCAAAGCTATTCTGAAAAACAGAGGCAAACTTTCTCTTCAGTTTTTCTTGTAACCTTTCACCTGACTTCTTAGTAATTACTGGGGTGTCCGGTGATGAACATGATACAATCCGATATGATGAACACGTTGCAGACACTGTTGATGGATACATCCATTATTCCAAGTATTTCAATCATATCTAAACCAAGAAGATCAAGGTTTGGCCGTTCTGTTAGATAAAATATTCCAGTACAGTTAGTTCAGTTGAAGGAAAATGCACACTGTAATTCACCAACCATTTTTAACATACCACCTGATGCGTTTTTAGCCTTTTTCTTAGATGGTTTCATTGGCGGTTTGCTCAGAAAGTTATACGTTTCTCTGGACACCATGCTGATATCTAATGCTGTGTCAATTTGAAGACGAGATGATATGCCGTTTATCTGGATGGTAAAATACTTTCTCTGAATGTCATAGTCTGTTTGAAAGGCAACTATCAGAGAAAGAGATTTACACTCGGTAAATTTCACCACATGTGGAGTACGTTTATGCTTCCTCTAGTGCTGAGACGCACGATTTGGTGGACAATGACCTTCTTTATGTCCACCTTTGTTGTACATCTGATATTATTGCTTCTTAAATGGACAGAATCGTACAGAATGCCAATCGCCACATATCCAGCATGTAGTCGTCGGTTTGTTTCTAGCTTGTTTCGGCGCCTGAACTTTTAACCTATTACTAGCATCGACACCATCGCCCGTTAAATTAGGATTTCCCTGATCAGTCAACTTGTTGTCGTGTCTGATGCTTTGTAGCTGCTTACATTCATCGGTCAATGTTCTGAGTGTGGCTTTCGGGTCTTGATTCAGTCGATTCAAATGTCTAGTCCTGATCTCAGCGTTTTGTGGTGACTGAAGAGCTCTTATGAATATTAAGTATTTAAATTGGTCTTCTGTCAACGAGCGTGACTTGAACCGTTCACATTCTCTGTCGATAATGTCTTCTAGGACCGCATATTCATAGGCTTCGCATTTCACCAGATTTATTCACTGATATCGAATACTATCAATGAGGATGGTTCACCGAATATCTCTGACAATTGAATTACCGTCTCTTCGAAACTGAGTTCTTGACGTAACTTCGGTTATGTACGGTCAGAATAACGTGCATGTTCGTTGCTTCCCAACTTACATACTAGCAATCACATCTTTCACGCCCCGTCCTGTTTACCGAATTCTGTTCTAAATGTATCTTCCCAACGTTTGAACCACGTGAGAAAAGTATTTCTACTTTTGGGATCATAGATGAATATTGGGATGCTGCTAACAACTGAATCACAAGACGTACTTGAAATAACCTATGGACTTGAGCAGCGGATGTTGAGCCACAGTCTGTAACTACCGCATTTGTGCATCTAAATGTGCTTGCTTTTATCGTAGTATTCGGTTGAGCTTGTCATCTGATATGAGCATCCTGATTTTTCCCCTTTTTGCCTGTCGCGGCTATCATAATTCACTATCACAACCCAGCTATTCCTAACGCTTAGCAATTTTGGTCACCAATTCACTCGAGACGTTCTCTCAAATCAGAACATGTTTGAACAGGAAATAGATTATATTCCAAGAACAAGTTGGAAGGAAGACAGAAGATCCAAAGGAAAAAGACGTTAGTATATTTACGGTTTTCTTGCATGATAATATTCTAGAATGTTCCTTCAGTATTGGCTAGCGCTGATTTGATACGAAAGAGCCAATCAGCTTGCATCGACGCAATCGTGCTTCAATCCAATTTACGTCCCACTAACACCTCCGCTTTTGCTAAAACAATTGTTGCTGTCTTAATAATCTCAAACTTAGGAGCACGCGAACACAAAACACCACAAAGCATCGAGCACTGTAGAATATTACCTCCTGGTTTCAACAAAAAATTCAAATATAGGCAATCCTCGTAACTTTGTTGCGTCTTTATAACTAGGGTTTATATATTAGTAACTGCAGATTATATTTACTTATCTGACTAGCTAGCATTTTGTTCATGTAATCTCACTGCATTTGGAAATACTAAATCGCGTTACCATACGTCAACTCACTTTTGGAAGATCGAGTGGGTGAGCACCTATGTTGTTTGCCAGTATTTTATTTATACCTACCACTTTCATTGTTGCCAGGGACGTAATTATTGCCTTATAACATGAGGACATACTTATTTTCACTGTTCACAATTCCTTAACCAAAACTGAAACAGCTTATGTCATTTATTGGTGATAGTTTGGCCTAATGTGACACAACTAACAGGTTGTTCTTCCGTCACGTAAAAGATTAAGAAATTCGACTCACAGTCGTTTTTTGTCTCGTCGTGAGGAAAAATCTGCCGTAAATCCGAGAAGTATGAGAAATAAGTGGCCAAAAATAAGGTAGACTGTACACAAGTTGCTAAAGTAGTTTCAAGCTTTTCAACAATCAATGGTTACCCGCAACACGTATTTAGACATCCGAGTTTACTTAGAAACAGATACTCATTTCACTCACACTATTGTATATCTAGTGTAGATCCTTTACCTCGTCCGAATATATTTTGTTATCTGTCTACTTGTATAGATTCACGAAACATCCTGCAGTCAAAATAATAATTGCTGTCACAGCCAGTGTAACAGTAAAAGCTCTCACTCAGAACACAGTCATTTCGGATACACTCGATACTATAATGACTGTTAGATGAGCACATACTCAATTTGAGCCATCCACTAAGTGATGGAAATTTTTATTAGATATAATAGGGGCAGTCAAATGGCGCATCATGATCGGGCTAAAAAAATTATTATCATTCAAAAGCTACCTTCTTATAGTACTTGGACCTCAAT